CAGACCTGGTATTGTTCTTGTTTTATTTAGTCTTTGAACTAGTTTGATCAGACACCTTGCAGCATTAGTTTTTAATTGTATTTTTTTAATTATTCTTTGAACTGGTTTGATCAGACACCTTAAAGGATAAGTATGTAATGATATTGTTTATCTAGTCTTTGAACTTACAGCTAGGATTATTATGTAATGGTATGTCTGTTACATATGTTTTTTTTTTTCTTCTATTGAGTAATGATATATTTAAGTGATTTGTTATACAATAAAGATTAATGGGATCAAAGAGATTTATCTTAAATATTCAAAACTTTAAGATCATATGATTCTTATTATCACAATGTTTTAAAACTTCAGTTAAATTAGCAGTCATAAATTAATCGATCATTTGTGAACACAATTGTATAGGACTGATGCCACCTTTCTTTAATTAAAAATCTCCAAAAAACCTTTCTAGAAAAACAATCTAGTAGAGCAACAGATTTTTAGATTGTGTTCAATTATTTAACATAGTAACTGTTTTATGTATTGAAGCTTAATGTTACCATGTAACCTTCAAGATGAATCCTTTTATTGTTGAGTACAGTTGAGGCAATATAACATGCCTAAAACACCAACCTGATAAGCTAAAAATTGTATCATGTACGATATTTCAATAAATTAATATTGAGATGTAATTATTTTTAATTGGAAGAGTGGAATTTAAAGGTGAGACTCAATTCATACTTGCCTAGAAGTTCAACAGAAAATATCTGACAAGAGCAGAAAAGTAACTGAAACCACATTGAAAATATTATAAGGTGTTTTCACAATGAAAAAAAAAAAATAGATAAGCATGAAATTTTTTTTCATCAGTATTTGTAAGTTTACCAGGTAGATTTTTGTAAATCATGCTACAGCACATGCAATTATGTTGCAATGTTACATCTATGTTGTAACTAGGAAATAATGAACTTCAGTATTGTCTGACCCAGGATTTAGTTATTTTATGTGATTGTCATTTAAAAGACCAGGAAGGAAGAACAGTATTTATGAAAATATTTCAGAAAACTACAAATTTACTTGTAAAACTTCTGAAACAGTATTTTGGAATAATATCTCTATAACTTGTGGTATTTTGTGGTGTTCACCATTTTGGGTATTTCCTTAATTTACCATTATCTTTAGTATTATATGCTCGAATGAAATGACAATGAGATGGGACAATTTAGCAGGCTAGCAATAAGTAATATAAGTAATACCTGTTCTTAGGTTTTCTTGCTGTTTGATATATCAAATAGTGTGCACATTGATAATGAGACAGCAATTGCAAAGGTCTACACTTTTCGTACATTATAAACACATACTTTTAATTAAAGGGACTAAAAGACTATGTGGTCAATATTTCGGCATAAAGGATTAATTTTGTCACCTATAAAATTTGTAATATGGAACAGACTTTACACTCCAGTTTGTAAGGGTGGATCAGTTCACACATATTGTATTTCATGTGATTTGTGGTTGGGAACATTTCCAAATTGCTACATATTATATAATTTCTGGTTAAATGATTAATCAATGTTTCCAGTGTTTAAAAATTTTCGCACTAGAATTTAATTTTAAACAGATTAAAAATAGGAAATACTTTGTTCTTTGATCTTCAGACAAAAGTACATACAATAACTTATGTCAGGCAAACCCCTTTAAGCTGATTTTATAGTTTGTTTTAATAATGTGCTGTTGCTCTGCAGTAAAACAGTTGGTGGATGTGGGTAGGGGTCAAGGTAGAATTGAGCAATCACAAACAGGTTTGACCCTGCCAGATTCTTTGTGGGTATGTGGTTCGATGGTTTATCATTGGTTCCTATCAGTCATGAGTATTTATCGTTTGATGTTAATAGCTTAAGTCAGACAGTTTTCTAATTGTTATATAGTTTGACAGTGCCTGATGACAAAAGTTTGGAAAAACAAATAAATTATTTGAAGCATAAAGACCAAACTAGGCTTAAACTAAATATTTAACTCCTTCTAAAGCTAAGTTTGGGAAGGGGAAATATACCTTTATTTTAAGTTCAATAACTGAATGTGTAGTAAAAGTTTCAAGTGAAAATGTCAGTTATATCAAAGCACCAACTCACAGTGATTATGCTATTATCATATGCTATTATCATGGCCCATTCCTTTAGTATAATAAATAATGTACTAGCAACATACTCAGAAATTTATTCAATTACATCGTTGTTTACATGGTAAATTTAAGCTTTAAATCTGTATATGAAATATTAATAAGCAACTACCGGTAGTTTATCATGAATTACAGTACAGGAATACTTAAAATCTAAATGATAAATATGAAAATTTATAATCAATTGGAAGATTTTTTAAAGATTAATACCTGTGGAAATTCATATCTCATTTTAGACAGAATGGAAAGGGGCCTTAAATAAATGTTAAATTGTTTAATATATGGAGTCTTATACATATGTCATGAAGAAAAAACCCCGAAAACTCTCTATACTTTTAAATAAGGTGTACAAACTTGTAGTTTTAGAATCTTATAAATTAGCATTTTTTTTTAATGATAAAGAAAAGTTAAAATCCTTTATCAATCCTCACATAGATAATTTGTTTGAATGGGTCTCGAAGATCATTGCAAATTACAAATTTCTATTCAATATATTTGATCGATATGGTTTATTTTAAGATATTTTATGTTCCTTGTTGGCATAAATTAGAATTTTAATATCTTCAGAATAGTCACATAATCACCCTCAGTGTGATAAGTTTATGGATGTCACTCGTCCGTGCTGTGTTCCGTTTTAAAATGTTTTGGATCTTTTTATAAGAAAAGATTAATATGATTTTATATAGAAGTTTTGAATATATATCTAATTATTTTTATATTTTTTCATGTAAAACGATACTTACATTACATTATTGAAGAATATGATTATTCAATGATTTATATTTTGTCATACAGTGTATCAGGTTTTTTTTCATGTTTGGTTTTGTTCAAGATTTGGGCCTTACCTATGGGATGTTAAATCTTCACTCTGTTAATTGTTCATGTTGCATGGCCCTTTACAATGCATTTCACTTGACAAGTAATAATTAGTTAACCTCAAATTAAAAAATGTATTTAACTTTTGGTCAAGTCAACCATCCAACATGTGTCCTTTGCAAACTCTTGATGTTATTTCAAATATAATTTATAAGATAAAACTGTATTCCTCTGTTTTATAACAAAAAGCCTTGTGCAGATGACTATAACAATAAAATGACAGACCATTTGCTTAGGGACTTTCCGTTTAGAATTTTCCTCGGAGTTCAGTATTTTTGTTATAACCACCAACATCTGACTCCTCCTTAAAAGGAGGTGTACAAATTAATACAAACATAACAAACAACACATTGTGTAAATAACCTGACTTGATACAGACACAAAATTTACCTACACACAATCCTCCCCCTTTTGCTCTCTAGACCATCATGTCATAAAAGGAAAGCACAATAAAAAAACCAGCATAGTGCAGCTACCAACAGGATGATATCTAACTTGAACAAAGAAAAAAAAAAGGAGGCACATAATTTGGAAAGCAGGGTCAAAATGTGCTCCTTACTAAGCTAAGGTACCAAAAGCTGTTGCTTGAATACTTAAAAATGCTGAAGAAAACAAAAGATAAAAAAAAACATTCCTAACAGGTTTTATGAAGTCTTATCAGAAGATTTAATTGAAATCAACATTATTCATTTGTTATTTGTGAAAATGAGAATCAAAACTATGAAATTATGAAAAATTGATTCTAATTAGAATTAATTAAATGGTTATAATTGTGTTCTATTAGTAATCTTCCCTATAATGACAGAAAATGGATGTATAATTTGACATAATAAGTCCTATGATAGTGTTTTGATTCTAACTGAGAGCACACTGACATCAGTAAAAGACTTCAACATAAATCTTCTGAGACACTGAATAGTCATAATTAATCAATAGATAAAAGGATATCTGTAGAAATATATGAGAATGATTGGTAAATTAATTTTATAATTACAGTTAAAATGTCCTGTTGCTCTTAATATAAAACCGAAAATAGTTTTAATGATATTATTTAAGAGTGGGCAATTTTCAATTTGTCTTTTCAAACATAGAAAATAAGATTTAATTATTGATAAATGTAAATTATTCCAAAAAATTTTACATTGTCATTTTCAGTCTTAAGGAAAAAAATAAAATTTGTTATCACAGAGTTCTGTTTAATTTATTTCTCTGTCTAAAGTCTTTGATGAAGATGTAATATGACAACAATTACTTTCGTCATACCACACCTTATTACTGGCTAATGGTGCAGCAGCTGCAATAGGTATAATACAGATCATAATTTACAGAACACGATTGCAAATCCTATTGTATAGCAATGGGAATCGGAAATACAGACAAAAATCTGCTGTACACGACAGCAAAAACAAGTTTTTAATAGCAATCGAGAACACAGATCCAATTATAACTGCCCTGACGATAGCATAGCCAGTAATAGGGTGTGTATATAGCTGAATATGGATTCTACCACTTCCATCTATTAAGATATGACATTTCTTAATCAAGACATTATTTTCTATGTTGTAATGTTACACTATTGTTTCAGGTTAGGGTGAAGGTTGGCACCTGTTAAAACATTTAAATCTGCTGCATTTGTTTGCACCTGTCCTAAGTCAGGAACCTGTTGTTCAGTGGTTGTTGTTTGTTGATGTTTTGCCTTTTCTAGCAACAAAATTCTGATTTTCCTGTTTGTGCAGTTTTTTCTATTTCTTTCAACCTTTAGCCCTATACCTTTAGCCCTATAGTTTTTATAAATACGGCATTGAATAACTTCCCATTATGTAAGCTAAAAGTCTGTTGGTTAAATTCAGTGGTCAAACCCAAATTATATCACTTCTTTTTCATAGTTTCATATTTGACCTGTGTTTACCACACATTGAAACATAGATTGTGTATCTGTAATATGGAAATGTCTTGTCTTTTTCAGCCTGCTTATAGTGGAAAACCAAAAATCTTACAGCAAGGATCATTTACAAAAGCAGCACCTGCTAAAGAGCACAAACATTTCCGGCTTGTCAGTGACTCAATTGGGAATAACTACAGTCCACAGGCTCGTAACTTAACTACGTCTTACATCTATGATACAACCAGATTTTGTAAGTAGATTAAGAATTGAAAATATCACAGAAAAATCTTCAGAAGAATTTTTATACACGATAACAGTTTTGATATTTTACCATTGGAAGGGTAAACTTGACTGCTAACTATCATAGACTAAATATAAACTTTTCAAATCAATTTAGATCAAAATGACTATTTTTGTCTTAAAAATATTTACCTTCAAGAAAACAGGTACACAACAATAGAGATTATTGCAATAAAATCTTTATGCATTATTTTATTTTATATTACATGAAAGTTATAGCTATTCAAACATGAATTATAATGTGGTTTAAGTTTATTTGATCAAACTAGTTCTGTCAAAAACTTCATGAGGAGTATGGATGTTATTGTTCCATTGTATAAAATTCAGTTTGTCTTTTTTTATACAAACAATTAAACAGTTAAACAAGTTATGACTGGTAACAAGTGCTTAGAAATTATGGGTCCTGTTTTGCTGAACATGAGATGCAATAAACTTTAATGCTTCTTTAAAGTTTGAAAAAATATCAAGAATCATCAAAACTAGATAATTTTTTCATTGAAATTTGGCCTTCTAAATAATCTGCAAAATTTAACGTTATTTGACCCATTATTTTACTGAGTCTAGATCTGATTACTACCTTCGCTTTACATGTCCAATTCAGACTATTACTTATTTACATGTGCAGAAAATATATTTATAACCACTTAAGAACTTGTTAACTTTAGATCAAATGTTTCATATAACACATTTTACCATAAGCATAAAACATAATTATTGATCCAGAGTTAAGATTTTGTTAAAGTCAGTAAAGCAGTGTCAACTTAATGTCCTTACATATATGATATATGATGTAAATATAAATATTTGTATATCATAAACAGCCTTATATCCACTGAATTGTGGTAGTTAATAAAGGTCTTTATACAAGCACTGTACCCCACAAATAGGTATGGACAATTTTATAAGCTGTTGAGTCGCCCATCAATAACGCTATTATCCGAAGTTTAAAACGACAGTTCAAACTGATAATGTGTTTATCTGTATTCAGTTTATTGGCAATCAATTTAAAATATAGATTTGATATACTAACATTCAATAAAGGGTAAATGTTAAATGGATAGGTTGCCACAGAAGACATTTAATTATGTGAATTAAAAAATTTCATGAGAAATTTATGTTGTACCCCCCACGAATGTCCAACACTCCCTCAGATCATCTGCTCAGGGTCATGTGAGAAAAACTTGTCTTAAACTGTTAGTTGAACTTCAATAAAACCATGCAAAAAGTAGTACACCAGATGACTATATGAATGAAGCAAAATGAATATAATTTGATTATTGAAAGAAAGATAATCAAACTTGCAATATCTTCTCATAAGGTAGTTGATAGTTGACGGTGGGGATGGGCATCTTTTCATGAATCAAGCACATTTTGTCTAAACAAGGATGAAACTAAATTAAATCAGATATGAGTATTAACAGTTTACCAAGAAAGATATTTTACCCACACAAAATTCTTAGAAATAAGACGTCTTACAGATAAAAATTCTGGCCTGTTACTCATATACAATACAAAATAGAAAATGACACTATTTATGATTTTTTTTTCAGTTTTCCTTAAATTTATGAAATTTAAATGTCGAAAGCAGATATGTAAAGGAAAATTTTAAAATATAAATACTTATAAAAAAAACCCATCTCAAGTCTTGGGTACATTTAAAGGATGTTATTTTTTTTTATATAAATACATTATTTAATACTTTCTGATTGTTGAATTCAAAGGTCCAAACAAGCTGCTTATCATACCTTCACCCTTGTGGAGGACAGATCATCTAAATCATATAGTTGTGCATGACTACATTAAAAATCTGGACCTTATTTTTTCTTCAAAATGTTAAAAACTTATTGTAGGCAAACACTAATACAATATATAAGTTTAAATAAATGTTTTGATCTGTTTGTCTAACTTGCACTTGAAAGTGATATCACCAGGAGGCCTTAGAATTATATATAATTTGATGTTTATAATTATTAGTATTCAAAAATTCATAAAGTTTTTTTGTGTTAAAGGGTTCATTTTAATTCAAGTATATCTCATATTATTACCATTTCAAAAAAAAGAATAATGATTTTTTTTTATATAAAGTTTTAGGTGTATTGTGAAAGGCTCTTTAAATCAAGTGAAGTTTATTGTGACAATACTTATATTAATATTTATAAGTACTGGCAATTTTATGGTAGTAAATATTACATAAGCAGTTTGAAATTAAATGTAACTTGATATCGCTTGAGAATATAAATTCAAGTTTTAAATAAAAGAGCTTTTTAAAAGAAAAAATGGACGTACAATTATTAATAAAATCTACTCAAGATACGGATTTATCTTAGTGATGAAAATTATTTTGCATATGGCATTTAAATTTTGTTGCAAACTTGTAAATTAACACTGCCAATATTCATTTGATGTGGACTTTAATCAAGATTGATGTACTAACAGATTCTAGAATTTGTGGTTTTCTCCAAAGAATAAATTTTGTTTATTTAAAAAATATACCCGATCATAACTTCAGTTTGATTTAATTATTTATAATGAAAAATGAAGTTCTTTTCAATGTTTCTTCTAAGTTTTCTGTTCCTATTTATTTTTTAACTGAAAAGTAGAAAAATTAAAAGTTTTCCCATGTACTATATAGAAAAACCCTTTTTTGCTAAGACCATTTATTTCATAAGATATCTTAGGAATTAGTATTGTTGAAAGGGGCCTTGATGGCCGAGTGGTCTTAGTAGTTCAACTACTGTATCACAAGTCTTTCAAGACTGAGGTGCGTTGACTCCAATCTTACTTGACTAAGATTGTGTTTTCCTGTCCAAGGTTGTAGCTCTCAGTGGATAGTATGACAGATCACACCAACCTACATCACCAAACTCCTACAAGAAGATTCATTTTGACCTTAATTTATCTTTTCAGGGGGAAGTGCTTGTGTAACAGTTTGCTTTCTCATTAACATTTACCCCACATCTCTTATTTCATTCATACATTTAGGTTTGACAAATATAGCTTTAGAGTTTATAGTTTACAATATGTCTTAACTTTCACTGTTGTGCTCTACAGTAAGAACAAATATTTAAATGTATTAACAAATTAATGTCAATGTTTGCCAATTTTTTGAGTGTTCCAAGTAAATAACTTGGTTCAACATTCATAACAAAACTTGACCATTAGTAGTTATTTATCTAAATAATTTAACTTTAAAGTCAGAAAACATTAATTTTATATTTAAATAGTACATTTTATGATCATTTTCTTTGGAATTGACCAAAGGCGATTGTGAATGCTAATGGTAGACGAATCCTTCCTGTGCTATGTTTTAGTTTTGTTTTGAGATTAAATGTTTCTTCTTGTCTGTGACCGAGTTCAAGGCCAGTACAGAGGCCAGTGGCCATTATTAAATCAAATACAAAAAATTGTTCTCATGAATTACTAGTAACAAACATTACTTTTTGTAAATAAGCAAACATTGAGTCCTTAAACATGAAGAAAGTCACTGTCATTGGCAATACTAGATTGTCTGGTACATACTAAATAACTAAACAAATTACATCAGCCACCAACACTCAACTCTTAAAAAACAAAATGCACAGAGACAAACAACAACAAACACCACATGGCCCAAGACCACAATTAATGATCCCGCTTTTCGTTGTCCACAAATATAGTCCCTTTTAATTAGAGTGTATTTTTTCTTAATTTTTTTTCTTTCCCTTCCTCACTCATTTCTTAGTTTTTTGTGGGTGGAAATAAAAGAAGAGAGGTGAAATAAACTTTTGGATGTTGTATTTTAACTGATTTTGATATGGAAAGAGTGATTAGGCCAGGTGCAAAAAGGTGATATTTACAGTTTTCGGAACATCTCTTGACTTGTCCATAGGGGTATGGATGTGTATTGGCTAAATTTGTAAGAGTCATTGGTTCAATCTTTCTGAATTTTGGATATATTTTTGGACTAGTACTATACATTACACACACAAAAGATTTGACAAAAATGCAAGGTGCAATTTTTTTAATGAAACAAAACGTTATAAAGAACTAATAGGGGAATTTAATTGTGGTCTGTGGCCTAAGAGGTGAATTCAGGAAATATTGAATTTGTACTTTGACAACTTCCCTGAATGATCCATTGGTATTAATTTGTCAAACTACATGAGAATAAATGATTTCCACTTTTATTTGATAGAAATTTTGTAAAAAAGTGACATTTCAGCCTACATGCCCAAAATTGAACTTTTTCAGTTGTTTCAATATTTTTACAAAAGTAGCATGCTTACTTTCTCTCTGACAGATTTTTCTGGTTTTCTATTTGTGTTTGTGGTATCTAATGTAGATGTTTAACTCATTTTTGAACACTGACCACAAAAAAAAGTAGATAAAATCAGAATAAGAGTGCAAAATGTGCTGCTTTAATGGTCTTAGTCTAACGGTCAGTATGAAGCAAGTGAAAAATGAGGTTCTATGCACATACAAGTTGAATTCCTTTTAGCAGATTTCACTGAATCTGTATCAAAAGCACTTATTACTGGTTGTTTGACCTTGTCTGTTTCACAGACTACCTTTATTTTATTTTGTTTGATAGCTAGTGGTTAAAATATTGGCCTTTTGAGGCTGAAATTTCATGCCGGTTTTAAAAAGTAAAGTAAATAACTTTGCTTCAAATCATACTGTCTACATATATAGTTGAAAGTGACAGTCATGTTACATCCAGGCTCCATGTTTTATCATATCTAAACAAAGATTTGAGCAAAAAGAAGCATATCTCTATCTACCATATCATTTATATGCTTTTTAATATGCAAATGTGGGGAACGACCTAAATTGACAACCTGTTTTTTTAAGCTTGACATTGCTGAAGACAATTTTATTCACATGTGTTATGCTATTTGAAACTTATATTTCCATTAAAAGTACATTTATAACATGTAAAAGGTTTTTTTATAACTTAACAACTTCAGAAAATTGTGGTAAGTGAAAAATATTACATTTCATATAAGGCCTCACATCATTTGAAAACCTCTATTTTTTGGCACAGGTTCATATAAAATTTACTTCTGGCCATTTTTTATAAGTCTGAAACATGAAGTATGCTATCTGTTGCTTTTAATAGGTGATAACTTATACATAGAAACATTAAAAAATGTAAGTTTTGGTATATTTTGGTTTTTAGAAGCCCAAATTTGATAGTTGAAATTGTTCTAATTCAACGCCACAATTCAGCACCCAAAGTTCAGATATAAAAAATGCCACATTTTTTATAATTGGTATCATATGGCTTTTAAACTTTGTAAACTGTTTTATAATACACTAAGCTTAAATCATGCCAAGTTTTATTAGAATTGGTCAAGTTTTAGACCCCTAATAGGCCCAAGACCACAATTAATGATCCCGCTTTTCGTTGTCCACGAATATAGTTCCTTTTAATTAGAGTGTATTTTTTCTTAATTTTTTTTCTTTCCCTTCCTCACTCATTTCTTAGTTTTTTGTGGGTGGAAATAAAAGAAGAGAGGTGAAATAAACTTTTGGATGTTGTATTTTAACTGATTTTGATATGGAAAGAGTGATTAGGCCAGGTGCAAAAAGGTGATATTTACAGTTTTCGGAACATCTCTTGACTTGTCCATAGGGGTATGGATGTGTATTGGCTAAATTTGTAAGAGTCATTGGTTCAATCTTTCTGAATTTTGGATATATTTTTGGACTAGTACTATACATTACACACACAAAAGATTTGACAAAAATGCAAGGTGCAATTTTTTTAATGAAACAAAACGTTATAAAGAACTAATAGGGGAATTTAATTGTGGTCTGTGGCCTAAGAGGTGAATTCAGGAAATATTGAATTTGTACTTTGACAACTTCCCTGAATGATCCATTGGTATTAATTTGTCAAACTACATGAGAATAAATGATTTCCACTTTTATTTGATAGAAATTTTGTAAAAAAGTGACATTTCAGCCTACATGCCCAAAATTGAACTTTTTCAGTTGTTTCAATATTTTTACAAAAGTAGCATGCTTACTTTCTCTCTGACAGATTTTTCTGGTTTTCTATTTGTGTTTGTGGTATCTAATGTAGATGTTTAACTCATTTTTGAACACTGACCACAAAAAAAAGTAGATAAAATCAGAATAAGAGTGCAAAATGTGCTGCTTTAATGGTCTTAGTCTAACGGTCAGTATGAAGCAAGTGAAAAATGAGGTTCTATGCACATACAAGTTGAATTCCTTTTAGCAGATTTCACTGAATCTGTATCAAAAGCACTTATTACTGGTTGTTTGACCTTGTCTGTTTCACAGACTACCTTTATTTTATTTTGTTTGATAGCTAGTGGTTAAAATATTGGCCTTTTGAGGCTGAAATTTCATGCCGGTTTTAAAAAGTAAAGTAAATAACTTTGCTTCAAATCATACTGTCTACATATATAGTTGAAAGTGACAGTCATGTTACATCCAGGCTCCATGTTTTATCATATCTAAACAAAGATTTGAGCAAAAAGAAGCATATCTCTATCTACCATATCATTTATATGCTTTTTAATATGCAAATGTGGGGAACGACCTAAATTGACAACCTGTTTTTTTAAGCTTGACATTGCTGAAGACAATTTTATTCACATGTGTTATGCTATTTGAAACTTATATTTCCATTAAAAGTACATTTATAACATGTAAAAGGTTTTTTTATAACTTAACAACTTCAGAAAATTGTGGTAAGTGAAAAATATTACATTTCATATAAGGCCTCACATCATTTGAAAACCTCTATTTTTTGGCACAGGTTCATATAAAATTTACTTCTGGCCATTTTTTATAAGTCTGAAACATGAAGTATGCTATCTGTTGCTTTTAATAGGTGATAACTTATACATAGAAACATTAAAAAATGTAAGTTTTGGTATATTTTGGTTTTTAGAAGCCCAAATTTGATAGTTGAAATTGTTCTAATTCAACGCCACAATTCAGCACCCAAAGTTCAGATATAAAAAATGCCACATTTTTTATAATTGGTATCATATGGCTTTTAAACTTTGTAAACTGTTTTATAATACACTAAGCTTAAATCATGCCAAGTTTTATTAGAATTGGTCAAGTTTTAGACCCCTAATAGGCCCAAGACCACAATTAATGATCCCGCTTTTCGTTGTCCACGAATATAGTTCCTTTTAATTAGAGTGTATTTTTTCTTAATTTTTTTTCTTTCCCTTCCTCACTCATTTCTTAGTTTTTTGTGGGTGGAAATAAAAGAAGAGAGGTGAAATAAACTTTTGGATGTTGTATTTTAACTGATTTTGATATGGAAAGAGTGATTAGGCCAGGAGCAAAAAGGTGATATTTACAGTTTTCGGAACATCTCTTGACTTGTCCATAGGGGTATGGATGTGTATTGGCTAAATTTGTAAGAGTCATTGGTTCAATCTTTCTGAATTTTGGATATATTTTTGGACTAGTACTATACATTACACACACAAAAGATTTGACAAAAATGCAAGGTGCAATGTTTTTAATGAAACAAAACGTTATAAAGAACTAATAGGGGAATTTAATTGTGGTCTGTGGCCACATGGTCCAGATTGCCTAACTTGGTACAGGAACAAAATGTGGTCTGTCTAGGTTTGCAAGGAAGAGTAAACAACAATCAACCAATCTGTACATGCTGACATCACAGTTCAGACTCAAAACAATAACTGTCAATCAATTAATTCTTACAAAACTTAGATGGAAAAGTCAATTGGAGGGAGGTCACAACAGCTCTAAATACTATAACATTTTGTGAAAAGTTTTGTTGTCTGATGTCTCAAACAAAGCTTGAAGACAGGCATAGAAATAAGTATTGTGTCACATTAATTAACAAATGGGCAAGTTCCTTGTGACATATACTTCCCTTATAAGACATTGGCCCATTGATTTATACAGACATATATAGATCTTGTCCAGTAGTGGGCTACTTAATCAAAGTCCCTGCTTAAATTGTACTTGTCATGGGCAAGTGTTCAAGGTTTGAACATGAAATAGTAATCTTATGTTACTATTTTTGAATGTTGTGGTAGCAAACTCAGTTTACTTTTTTTTTAATTTCAGCATTTACAACAGAAGAAAACTATTTTTTATCTCCAAGACCTCCAAGACCAAGTAGTCCAGATGATTCTAGACTCAGACAGTCACTTCCTGCTCCTAGAAGGAAAAGGTATTTCAATAATGTTAGATGATGTCGGACTATATTCCATGCGTACTGATTACATTTATATATGCCTTGGATTGAACGTAAGAAGGGTTATAAGTTGATTTGTACCATGTAAGTGGTTAAAACAAGGAATTATTTGAATCTGGAATAATTTTGAATTGTGGAAAATTGATAACAAATTTTGGTGAAAACTAACCCAACTAAATCAGTCAAGGGTATATCTTAAACAAGTTATCACAGAAAATATCAGGTATACTGTCATTGTGCAAAGAAACAATGTCTGTAATGTTATTTCAACACAATTCATGACAGGAGGAGATAACTCTGGCAGAATTCCCACAATAACAGTATGCCTATTATTTTCTTTAATAACTTGTTTAAGTTATTATATGACCCTTGACTGTAAATAGGGTTAGCCATGCATGCATGGCTAAAAAAAAGGGGGGGGGGGGTGTTAGTTAGTTCATACTGAAATATATGTAAAAGTAACTTGAATCTAGGCATGCATGCATGGCTAACCCACTAAAGTTGGGTAAAGTTTTCATCATACTTTCTTATCAATTTTCCAGAGTTCAAAATTATTCCAGATTCAAATAATTCCTTGTTTTAATTGAAAGTACTGTCAATGAAGCAGAATCTTGCATTGTATTTAAAATCAAACTGTATCAGAGGCAAATTAAGGAGGGGGAGGGCATTATGGAGCTTCATATATGATAAATGCATAGACTTTTCACAGGTATCAAAAATTGGCTTGCCAGCTGACCACCCTTTTTCAAAGTCCTTGATCCGTACCTGTGTATTAAACCAAGGATACAGGAGATTTGAGACAAAGAAATTGTGTCTGGGTTAATTGTAGTTTGGATTTTACAGGAGGATATATTAATCACTAACTATATTCTGTTTCTTTAATTATTATAGAAAATATTGTTATAAAGTTCCAATTTTATCATATTTTCAGCATTTACAAGGGCAACAAATTGTGAAAAGTAAATTTTATCAGAACTTTACATATATATAAGACTATGCAGTAATTTGTAAAATAATAACTTGTATTAACTTTTTATTTGAAGCCTCCATGAGTTTCTGCTTAGTAGAGATGACAAAGTTGGAGGTCCAGTAGAAAGGTTTGGTCTATCACCAAGGGTAACACAGAGACAACAGAATGGTGCCACTAACGGCCATACCAGACTTCCACCAATCAATTCTTCAGGAATACAAAGTGATTATGACAGTAGCAGTTATATAAATGGTATGCTCAGTTCTTACATAGTTTGTCAGGTTTAAAAGTCGAAGTACATGTAATAAAAAGAAATACAGACTAATGACAGATAATGCCTACCTACTTTAATATAGATGGGGCATTAAATTTACATTGAGTGATAAAATTATAGATATCATGGATTAGGAAGTTTCTTAGATTATAATTGATACATAAAAACTTTACTTGCATTGAATTGTTTTACAGGTTTTGTTGCAGATAATTTTAACCACAAAAACTGGAAGGCTCAACTACATTTGTCATAATTTCACTACATATTGGTGATCTGAAACCTTTGTCTTGTGACAAATTATCAAGATTTTATAGTAAGGGTTATATTATAATGATGGGTTTGTTGTCATTGGCATTAGTGTTGTAATATAAAGACTTGTTTTCGTCTCTGATCTTTTACAAATTTTAATGTTACGTTCCTTGGCACAGATAAAGCTTCAGACAGATCTTGTGATTGAAGCCAAATAGGACAGAAAGACATAAAAAATGGTGTTACATGCAGGTTAATTATCATCTTCTGATTTTGATTGTTTTTTTTTTCTCTTTAAAATATGATAATTTTTAAACAAAAATATGATTGTCTTCTTAAAAATTAGTTTGCAAGAATTGCGGAAGTATGCTGTAGTTCGCTAAACTAGTATACATAATCATCAAGGGGCCAGCTGAAGCCTGCCTCCGGATGCAGGATTTATCTATTGTGTTGAAGACCCATTGGTGGCCTTGGGCTGTTTTCTGCTCTTTGGTCGAGTTGTTGTATCTTTGACACATTCCCCTTTTCCATTCTCAATTCTATGTAATAACATTTTTCTGTGCTATGAAATTCCCAAGAATTTTATTCAATGACTAAATATTTTTGGTACATGGTTATTAAATGTATTTTGGGGTATTATGGCAGTCAAATAAACATTTCTAAATTGTTTGAGAAAATAAATGGATTCTTAAGTAATTTTTTTATCTGTTTTCTATAGATATATTTACATTTTAAATATTTGTTGGTCAAAGTCATTAAATTTCATACATTTCTATTGGTAAATTACCCCACATTTTGTATGTGTCATAAGCATAATTTAGCAATAATCATTTTATATTTGTACTTCCCCAATTAGATTTACATCGTTGTTCTGGAAAAGCTACTCAATATATTTACATCTAAACAGCTGAAAATAATACATTGATTTTTTTCTTATAAAGTTTGAATATTTTAACAAAAGTGTCAGTAAAAGTATTTCTTTTTTTCTTTTTTTGATTAAAATCATATCAAAAAGATATAAAATTGAACTTATTAACAGGTAATGAGAGTCCTGTTTACCTATGGCTAAGTTTAGAAATATAAATTGAATTTTTTCAACACAATAAAGGAATGACTATAAAGTTATTAGTACATGTATTTGCTGTCGATATTGACTTCTCTTATAACTAAGGATTAAGTACAATCACCCTTTTGTTGGTAATTTTTCACGGGGTAACAATTAAATTAAATAGTTTGTAGAAAGTGTGTAGCTCAAATGTAAATATTTACTTTAAGGGATGCAACAGAGTTAAACAGATAATATCTGAATACCTACGAATAACTTATAATCATGTAAAGTAACAACTATAAGTAAATTACCAGATAAAGAAGATTTTATTGTTTAACATCCTTTTTTCTGTGTTGCAAGAGGGCCAGAACTACGGTCTCACAAGTTCTTAACAACCTAACTTAGTTAGATCAATATTGATAGTATTTAGTTTGGAGTTTTTTTGTTTTTTTTTAAAAAGGTCCTATCTTCCCTGCTAATAAGGTTATAAATATAGGTTTTTCTGTTATCTGCAGAATTTTGAGGATGATGTCAGATCATTGATAGTCTATTTTAGATTAACTTGCGACTTTTTAGACTAGGGTGAATTGGGGTTTGACATATTGTATAGAAACCTGTCTATTGTTGAAACTGTATGTTGACCTCTAGATGTTTTTTGTTATTTGTGTTGTTGGGTTGCTGTCTCATTGATGTATAATCCACATTAACTATTAAATACATGCATCGTGTAATAACAGGTATTTTTTTGTGTGTGTCAAAGCACTTATTGCTGGGTAGATTATACCCATGGAATAACATCTATATGAAAAATAAGGAGATGTGGTATGAATGAAGGATGTGGATGTAAGCAACTCTAAGTCACTTTACAGCCTTCAACAACAAGCAGAGCCCGTTATGTATAGTAGACTATAAAAGGCATGATTAAAACCAGGAAACCAACAGCCTGATTTATGATAAAACAAAAGACTCAATACAAATATGACAGACAGCAACCCCAATGACAACCACTAGATCTAGCCCACTTGTGTGAGACTGAATGTAAACAATATTCAAACCAGGAACATATGAAACTCTTGATGTTAGAAAAGAGATAAATACAAATTAATTACATTCCTGAACTTTTAATTAATAGCATGGTTTACTACATTTATCTAGATCGGTAATATTTCTAATTTGAGTTACTGTGGATTCATTATTATATGTGGGAGAACAATTTCTGTGGTTTTTGTGGGTATAGTTAAAACATGAATTTTAATGTTCAACGAAGTAGAAATTATCTATGCGCTTGTATGCAGACAAAACCACGAAATCCAATATCCATGAAAAATACCATTTATTCTCAATCTACGAAAATTGTTATCCACGAAAATAAATGTCAATCGACAGTAGTCTATGATATGAATCAGTTGTTGTTAAGGGATCATTTGTTTTAAAAGTCTATTTACATAAGTGCCATAAACATAAACACTTTTAACTAATTGACAAAAGGTTAAGAAATTCAACATATATGTAGAATTTATTTTGATAAATATCTGTCATACTATATGCTTGTAAGTCTTTTTATTGCCGGATTGTGTGTTGTTACTAGGAGGATTTGAACAGGTGCTCCTAATTATCTAAAGCAATTTCCATTCCTGAGTAACATATATATCTTCTGAAGTGTACAACATGAACTATGTTTGTTTTTAGTCTTTGTTTAATGCAATTGTACTTTTAGAAAGTTCACGATGTTTAGTGTCATCATGTTAAGGCTAAATAAGGTGGGTCCATGTTGCTATGCATAAAACTGTGAAGTTTTTGTTATTTTATTTTTTTTTGTAATTTATGATTTGGAAAATTAAACAAAAACTACATATGATATAACAATAAAATAAATATTTACTCAAAACATTTCTTGTATTTCAATATTTATTTCACTTGATAAAGTTAAATTAAAAAATGTATATTATATCATGCACAGTAAGCACTTTTATCTATGTGACAAGCACCTTAAAATAATCTAGAGTTTAAATATACAAGGAAGACTGTTTGAAGAGAAAAATATTTTTAGTTTTGACTCTCTACTGATGATATTAATTATATATTAGGCTACATATGATGAAAATAAAACCTCCATTTGAAAAGACAAATTGTTATGACAATTGTTTCTATAAAATTTTGATACTGAATTTGAAAGTATTCTTAAAATGATAAGTACTTTTTCAACAGAAAGAATAAATGTTTAAAACAAGGAGTCAACTGTCCAAGTTTCATAAGAATGCATTGATTGAATTTGGTATGGTAATAACTCTCTATTATTGTAAGCTGTAAACTGTACTAAGAGGTTCTGATACCTATGTGTTACCTTTATTTTTGTGGGTAGGTGTGGGACCTCCCAAGTAAAAGAAGGCCCACAGTATGACATTAGTGTCAAGGCAACAGTATGAAAAATTCATAGGGTATAAATATGTCTCAAGCTAATCTGCATTTCATAAGGATATCAAAATCACATTCAAGTTATTTAAATTGCTTTAAAAATAGTCATTAACTCTTTATTTAATGGAACTTATTTATTTTTACATGTGGTGTATTTTTGGATATGTTGAGTAATAGCTTTTAAATTATTTCATTTCAGCTTGAGATAATCACTAGTAAACAAATATCATATTCATGAGAAAATAGTAATTTTCCTTCTCAAGATTACCTTGTAAATAATTTAAATGTTGTTATATACCTAGAACATGTAATTATGTTTAATTTCTGTCAAAATCTATCAGGAATAGGTGATTGGTAAGATACTTATAGTGTTTGATGGACAAATGAAATGATATACTGAAAGAAAAAATAAAGTTAAAATATATGTAGTTCAAGATTCTTGGTAGGTCTAGCTCAGAAAAAAATAGAAGACCCTCAATAGGTCTACTTCTGGCCGTAGCGGAGGGGGCATTAAGTTTTACCCTTGTCCGTCTTTACGTACGTACGTCCGTACGTCCCAAAATTGGTTTCCGTTCTCTAACTTGAGTTTGCCTCAAACAAATGTTATGAAACTTATACACAAAGCTTATTACCACAAAACACAGGTCAAGTTTGAATGTTGGTGGCGTCACTTTGACCGTTCTAGAGTTATGCCCCTTTATAAATGGAAAAATTGAAAAAATTTAGTTTCCGTTCTCTAACTTAAGTTTGCCTCAACCAAATGTTATGAAACTTATACACAATGCTTATTACCACAAAATACAGATCAAGTTTGAATTTTGTTAGCGTCACTCTAACCTATCTAGAGTTCTGCCCCTTTATAAATGGAAAATTTACAAAATATTTAGTTTCCGTTCTCTAACTTAAGTTTGCCTCAACCAAACATTATGAAACCTATACACAATACTTATTACCACAAAACTCAGATCAAGTACAAATTTGGGTAGCGTCACTTTTATCGTTCTTGAGTTATGTCCCTTTATAATGTTGTATGCAAGCCGGGGCATTATCTGTGTCCATGGGGACACATTCTCCATTTATTGTTTTAAGCTTTCAAAAAAATTAGCGGTATCGTAGGTTAGTCATCTTTGAACAAATTTTTCATTGGAAGATCTAGCTGTGTAGATTTTTATGTCTCGCTCTGAACAAATTATAGAAGATTAAGCTTTGGAAAAATAATGGAAAATTCTTTGTAGGTCTAGCTCTAGCTCTGAACAAATAATAGAAGACCCATATTAGATCTAGCTCTAAAAAATTAAAGAAGATCCTCTGAGAACCACCATCTTCCGTGGGATTAAACTCGTACAATCAAGCATACAGAAAAGTTGCTTATAACCAAAAGTTAATGCTTTGTTATGTAATCATTTGCACCCTGTAATATTTTCCTTACACCCTAAATATTTTTTTTTCCACAGTAAATTTCTATCCCATTTGGGCTATTATATCCCAAACTGGTTATTATGATCCATTTTGAGATACTGGTCCCAACCTGTTTAAAAATTGTTTAGTATAGCTTCTAAGTAAAATTCATAACAAAATTTGGATGTGCAGAACAGGAAATCTCTCTCTTTCTCTCTCTTGAAACTTTTGAACTTTCATATCTGCTGTGTTTGTGTATTGTTGAAATTGTTTGAATTGAATCTGAAACATCAATACAGAAATGTTGGATTGGAGTTATTGGTTTTGTGTTATATATATATATATTGGACATGCATACAACAAGTTTATGGATTAATATGCAGATTCATTATTTTAACTTTATTAATGCCAAAGGACAATGTATAAGGGTCATTAAAATTAAGATTGGAATAAATAATATCCTCAGTACATATTTATACTTCATATTAAACTGGAATGCATCCAAAATAAACTGTGAAGAATTAAACATGAAAGTAGCGATTGTCTTTTTAAATTTCATACAATAAATGAATTACATTTGAAGGTATTAGGCTAAATGGATTTAAATGAACTTTAAAATATTTGTACAGATTTAGGTGATTGACTATAACAGTATTATATGGGATTACTTGTAAAGAGTTCATCAAAGTATTAACACATTAAATGTATTAATAAAACACTCAAGTAAATAGTAATTATTTGAAGTGAAACCAGCTATATTACATGTATAATGAAATTGGAAACTGTTTCTAGAGGACAACACACAAACAAAAAAGTCAAAAACAAAAAAGACAGTTGTATTAACAAATAAGACACTTTTTAATGATTTATACAATAACTCCCAGAAAAAAAGATTGATATAAGGTGCTCTTGAATGGTTACAATATCCTGCTTCACATGTCAGTGATATCAAGTGATCTTTAGATGTAACAATATCCTGCTTCACATGTCGGTGATATCAGGTGATCTTGAAGTGTAATCATATCCAGCTGCTTCACATGTCAGTGATATCAATTGCTCTGGAAGGGTAACAATATACTGCTTCACATGACAGAGATATCCGGTTATCTTGAAGGGTAACAATATCCTGCTTCACAATCTAGTGATATCAGATACTCTTGAAGGGTAACCACATACTGCTTCACATGGCAATGATATCAGATGCTTTTAAAGTGTTACCATATCCAGCTTAACATGACAGTTATATTAGGTTACCTTGAAAGATGACCATATCCTGCTTAACATGACAGTGATATCAGGTTACCTTGAAGGGTGACCATGTCCAGCTTAACATGACAGTGATATCAGGTGCCTTGGAGGATGACCATATCCTGCTTAACATAACAGTGATATCAGGTTACCTTGAAGGATGACCATATCCTGCTTAACATGACAGTGATATCAGGTTACCTTGAAGGATGACCATATCCAGCTTCACATGACAGTGATATCAGGTTACCTTGAAGGATGAACATTTCCAGCTTAACATGACAGTGATATCAGGTTACCTTGAAGGATGACCATATCTAGCTTAACATGACAGTGATATCAGGTTACCTTGAAGGATGACCATATCCTGCTTAACATGACAGTGATATCAGGTTACCTTGAAGGATGACCATATCCAGCTTAACATGACAGTGATATCAGGTTACCTTGAAGGATGACCATATCCTGCTTAATATGACAGTGATATCAGGTTACCTTGAAGGATGACCATATCCTGCTTAACATGACAGTGATATCAGGTTACCTTGAAGGATGACCATATCCTGCTTAACATGACAGTGATATCAGGTTACCTTGAAGGATGACCATATCCTGCTTAACATGACAGTGATATCAGGTTACCTTGAAGGATGACCATATCCAGCTTAACATGACAATGATAACAGATTACCTTGGAGGCTAACCATACCCTGCTTAACATGACAGTGATATCAGGTTACCTTGAAGGATGACCATATCCAGCTTCACATTACAATGACATCAGATGCTCTTAAAGGGGTACCTTATCCTGCTACACATGACAATGATAACAGGTTACCTTGGAGGCTAACCATACCCTGCTTCACGCGACAGTGATATCAGGTTCTCTTGAATGGTATAACAGTATCCTGCTTCATATAAGACATTTCATGTATTTATAAGTCAAATAGAGGCTAGATTGGGTTGGGTTCAGAATCAATAAAAGAGCATTAAATTTGTCAATTATGTCTGCAAAGAAAATAAATGTCTTTGTCTTTTTCGATATTCTGTTTTTCGTTGGTTACTGGACATACTGTATAGCGGGTTATTTTCGCTGGTGTAAAATTTCGCGTTTTAGGGGCAACAAAGTATACGAAAAATTTGGTGGTTTTTATTTTGGTGGATTTTTAAATCCCAATTAAATATTGTTAAGGTTAATTGATTTTTTTACCGGAATGACCTCTTATTTATTGCTTAGATTCTGATATTTGTTACAGTATTCAGACATCTTGTAAATTTTACAAAGATTAGTTACGAAATTGACCGGACCTTTGATGTACTTACTAATTAGGTTACAAAATTATCATGAGTCTTTACAACTCTTATATAGTTTGACACTAATTAATAAGGGTAATTAATTACCTGATAAGAGTACCATACACTCTTATTCTAATTGACACTTATTAATAAGGGTATACACACCAGACAGTCATTTTATAAAAAAAACATTTATGTACACTGCCCTTTGGCATTTATCTTGTTAAAACTAACATATACCGTTATTGACCTTCCGACAGGAAAAAATAGATCGTTTACAAAATCCTTTAACCATGTTAACTTCGAAACTACCCAAAGTATGCATTAATTTTCGCGGAATTTATTTTCGAGATTTTCGTGTGTCCGCCAAAATAAGCGAAAATAAACACCCCGCGAAAATAACCCGCTATACGGTATAAACCAATGAACTCCAAGACAATCGTATCACATTGATGTGTTGAATTATATCCCAACACATAGATTGGTAGGTGTCCTACTATGACCTTGTTCATTGATCTGTCCTTTTTGTCTGTTTGCCAGTTCATTCATAACTTTCTTTACATATTACTCAGCTTCTGTATTAACGCATGATATAACATATGGTCTGGATAATTTTAAGTTTAACAGTGTAACTGATTTTTCAAATCTGTTGGGCTGTTACTTTCTGTTTGAAGATACTTTGAATTATATCACTAGCCTGGTGTGAAATATTTTGTCAGTTTAAAGTGGTTTATAGTTTGCATGGCATCCTGTGCAACTTCTTGTTAAATGAGCCTTGGCATAGATGACTGTTTGAATGCGAATGTTGAGGTTTCACAGAACTAATAATTTAAGTACTAAAATAAAATTTTATTTCAGGAATAAGTAATGGGGACTACTCAATTGGACAGAATGGCTATGATGACTTAGCCAAATCAGCTGTGTACAGTCATGTTAGTAGTGTGGACAGTGGTAAACCACCTTCAGGTTTCTATATGCCAGATATGGACACTATCTCAGAGAGACCTTCAGAACATGGTAAACATTGTTAATAGAGGACAAAGTTCTCTGTAATTACAGTAGAAAAATCTATATCAAGTGTCATTATTAGTTATCAAAAATCTTTGACAAGATTTTTCTGTGAGTACTTCAGAATATGCACAATTTTCTTTTTTATACTCCTGCTTTAAAAAAGTGGGGTATACTGTTTTACCTCTGTCTGTCCATCCGTCAGTCCATCCATCCGTCAGTCCTTCAGTCCATCCTTCTGTCCCATGAATATTTTTCTCGGTAACTACATTACAAGGATTTCTGAAATTTGGTTTCAGGGTTTATATAAGTCAGCTATACCGTGTGATGCGTTTTCAGATTCATCACTCAACAACTTCCTGTTTAACGAACACTTGTATCATTTTACACATGATAGCCAAGTTGAAAATTTTCGTCACATTTTTCTCAGGAACTACTTGACAAGGATTTCTGAAATTTGGTTTCAGGGTTTATATGAGTCAGCTATACCATGTGATGCATTTTTAGATTCATCACTCAACAACTTCCTGTTTACCTTATACTTTTAGTGGGGTGGGCGTGGGCGTATCATTAGTGAGCAGTAGCTCACAGGTTCACTTGTTTATAATTTCTTAATTTTGATTATTATAGGTGACCATGAAGAAAAGAAGGAGGAGCAACAAGAAGAAAATGAAGAAGAGACATGTGACATGAAGAATAATTTCTATGATTTACATGATGAGTACAGCAAAGATATACTGAATGTAGAGTTTCCGCCATTCTACTTCTCGACACATGGTCTCTCCAGACCACCAACTCCGGATGAGGAGGACAGACAAAGGTAGGAAATATACACAACTAAGTAACCTAATAAAATAAAATCATATAATTTAGGGATTATGGAACATACCGGGTTATTTGCTATTGATTTCTTGATGATTGTTGTTGGTTTTTTTTTGTTTTTTTTATGTCCAATGGCATATAGTTCAGGACAATTTTAAAGAATCTAGTGCATTGGAACAGGACAAAACAAAGGGGAATTATAGAAATTTTTTTGTCATATGTAAGGAATAGAGAGGAAAAAAATAGACAGGTGTTTGGTCATTATGTACATAAGACAAGGCTATTGTGTTTGATAGAAATGATGAAAACGAGCAATAAGATATATCAATAAATTGGTTAAGCAAAACCAAAGGCTTCATAATAAAAAACAGATAAAAAAATCTTCCTTTTTTTGTTAGAATGAAGAAAGTTACAAAAATTTTGAATATTTGTTTCATTGATGTTCAATGTAATTTTAGGTATTACCAACTGATTGACGACTCAATAGACAATGATATGATTTCTCTATTGGAGAGAGAAACATTAGAAGGCATTTTCAAATTTGTTCCTCCATCCTTGCGACGAGACAATCCTGAGGCTTCTAGAGACTTTATAATTGTAAGTTGATCAGCTAATTCTAATTTCTGAATTGTATGGCATAATTTTTAATGATAAAAGATGGAATTCATAGGGCTTTTCTATTATATACTACACTGCCTTGAACAAGAGAAAAATAACCATTTTGTTAGAATACTTTCAAAATGATTTCATAAAAATTAGCCGTTTGAAGGGATTGCAATCAATATTCTTTTTTTCTATTGCTGGCTTTATAATTTTGGGTTAAGATATCAAGATAAAACATTTTTTGATCTGTTTATTTGAACAACTTTACAAGTATTCAAAAATAGGAAATGTATATGTATACAGTTCACTCTTCTTATCTCAGAATCTTTTATCTCAAAATTCCTTATTACAAAGTAAAATGTCTGTCACAATGGTAGATTTGATTTACAATTTACTCCTGATATGTCAAAATTCCTACATCTCAAATTTTTTTTGTCAATGATCAACTTTGAGATAATGAAAATCCACCCTATATACATGTGTTGAAAAACTGTTGCATATTTTCATGACCCTTTATATATAAGAATTTTGTTTATAACAGGAAATGAAGAATGATAGAAGATATGCAATAAAGAAAGGAATGCTGGACTACATACTGCAGGATGAAGATGAACAAGAGAGATTGGGTGTTCCTGTTCCATATAAGGTATGTCATGAAAAATCATACATTTTGCATATTTTTTGCAGTAACGTCTTGTGTGTTGTTGTGTATAAAATTAACATTCTTAAAAGATCATCTACTAGAACATTTGAGCCAGTTTGAAGTAGTCAAAGCCAGATTTGTCATGGTGTTTTTATATTTTTCTTATTACAGATTTTTTTTTTCATTTTCACTTAATTTTAGCTATTTTAAAAAAAAGTGCTGCTTTTGTTTTAGCAGAAGAATAGTTTTGTTCTCTTTTGTTTCTCCTGAGTAACTTTCCTATAAAATAGGTTTGAAAATTTGACATGCTTTTCATTGTGATAAAAGAAGAAGAGAGTTGGTGAAAACTGGATTGTCACATCAGTTTAGAAGTGAAACAGAAGGACAGGGGAACAGTCTAAACAGGAGTAGCACTATATAATTTGACAAAACGTCGCTGTCAGACATTCAATTTTAAAAATAGTTTTATGTAGGACCTTACAGAAAAATAATTAGAAAGATAGTCTTTAAAACTACCATGCAAATACCAATAACCTAAATAATCCTTCAGGCATTCATATTACATGAAATTTTCTAATGTATACTATCTTATCTTATGTATACTATCTTATCTAATGTATACTATCTCTTATCTAATGTATACTATCTTATCTAGTGTATACTATCATATCTAAAGTATACTATCTTATCTAGTCTATACTATCTTATCTAGTGTATACTTTCTTATCTAATGTATACTATCTTATCTAGTGTATATTATCTTATCTAATGTATACTATCTTATCTAATGTATACTATCTTATTTAACATATACTATCTTATTATCTTATCTAACATATACTATCTTATCTAATGTATACTATCTTATCTAACATATACTATCTTATCTAACGTATACTATCTTATCTAATGTATACTATCTTATCTAAAGTATACTATCTTATCTAGTGAATACTATCTTATCTAACGTATACTATCTCATCTAACATATAATATCTTATCTAATGTATACTATCTTATCTAATGTATACTATCTTATAATTTTAGGAGTCAAACTCAGCAGGTAGACATAGATACCCTTGGCATAACATGGTCAATGAGACGAGAGAGTTTATGAAGACAGATGTATATATCACACATCCTGTCATGTACACCATATTGTACGACTTTGAAACAAAGTAAGTTTGGATAAAGAAGATTAGGGGAAAACTTCATTGAAATAGCAACCCAACAAATCAATGAATGTCAGCATAGGGTCTATAACAACAAATGCTTATACCATATGTCCAAATTGTCTAGACCAACTGTAAATACATTAATAAATTTAAGAGGGACTTTCAATGATCTGCCATTAACACTAGGTTCTTTAATAAACTCATCATAAATACCAGGCTTAAAATGAACACTCATTTTGGCTACAAAAGACTCGTCAGTGACATTCCAATCAAAAAAGTTTATAAAAGGTCAAATAAAGTAACTTCCGAAAGGATAAACACTAAGATATTCATAGACAACCTCTGACAAAGTTCCTGACTGTGGACTTGGATACTGGGCTAGTTTACTTTCATATGGCAACAACTTATAGCTATTCAATGTCAAAGAAAGGTCCTCATGAATTTTTTGACAGAATGAGGAGCCATGAGAAGAAATATATACATCTGTAGAAATATGTTTTATAAATAAGAATAGGTACTGCAGTAACTGCACTGAACATAAGGATACCAGTATGAGATAAATTTATATCACATTTTCAGAATTTCCTTTGTATAGCCTTGTATGTGTGTTTTGATTATCAGCCGCTTAATTTTCATGAAGAAGACATTTGGGAAATATATCACTGTAAATAGTATATGTTCGATAATTAAGGCAATTATTAGTTTTTTATAGAAAACTAAAAAGAGAGTACTTAATACATCAGAGTCGGCAAACTTTTAAAACAAAAAAAATATAATATACATCATCGTTAAATAATATTTTGTTTCAGGTATGGTGACTTTAGGTTGATAGATATTCCTGACTTGAGGAAGAAAATGCCTGTTACCATGGAAGTATTTTATAAACATGTGAAGACATCAAGTGAGCACGGTGCTATGAGGTTAGAGGAGGAGTGGTTACGAGAATGCTGTGATAGCATAGATACTCTCAGGGATTCCATTGAAGATTGGATGCCACAAGACAATCAGGTCAGAGGTTATTTTGTGTGGATGAAAGTTCAAATTATTAGTTTGAAATAAGGTTAACTTATACTAATTACTACAGATATTTCAAATCGTCTTCATCATTAATGGAAGATTATTTAATGAAAGATATTTCAGATTACAAGTTTTTACTTGACTTTCAGACAAATTCATGAAATATGTAGTAGATAATATATATGAATTGCTCTCGAAAAGTACAATTAAGTGTAGGTAGAAAGACGTTTTAATACCTTACATCAGGTTTTTTTCACGTGTGTTTAATTTTTGCTTTGTTCACGGCTGTTAAAGAAACACAAAAATTTGACCCCGCAAAAATTTCCTTGCAAATTCAAAGTTTGATGGTTGTTTGAAAGTTTCATACATTATCATTATACTGTTAATTATCGAATCTTTTGTGTTGTTTTACAGATCACGAGAATGGGCATACTTAATTAAAGTCATATGAAACGAGTTTCTTGTAATTTTAATGTTATCGAATTATTGAACCAATGCATGCATATACATTTGTATACAAAACTGCACATTTTTTATATTTATTACGAATCTATAATGTATTATCGACAAATAATATTTTACTCATTGATCGTTGATAGCAAGCTTATTAACTTTCTTGTTTGTTGCCGAAATTTAACGGATCGTGACATTGATAAATAATCAAATCAGTGCAGTGGAGCACATGAAAAATAAGTGAATTTATAAAGCCTTGATATTTTTTTTATATTTTCCATGCATTCCCATTTGTTATTTAAACTTTTCCTTAACAGTTGTTAAATGATTTGATGTATTAAATTTGTTCTGTAAGAATCAGTTATTACTATTTACCTTCCAATGTACTTTTGTTCACATTCTTTCATCACGGTTTTTCCCTCGCACTTGCGCTGTGCGGTGGTCGAAATTCTATCGAGAGGTATCGTAGTGAAGGTCACTGCATAAGGGAAAATATTGGCAATTTAGTGTACGGGAATACAATAATTCAATAGCAATACTTTTATGAAGATTTTGATAATATAAAGGATTTTCTTTTACAAGAAAGTTCACATACACTTGTGTCATAGTAAAACTTAGCCATTTTAGTATATACATCATATTCAACTTTTTTTAATTTAAAGTTTCATATGACTTTAAGATCTCTATTTTCATAATGATTAAATTGGCTAATCATGCATGTCACACCTTTTGACAACACAGCAATCAATGACATGTTAGCAATTGTTATTTAGACGATCTGTTGATTGGTGTCATAACCCAAATATTTTGCATAAAATATAAAAATAAAATAAAAAATAATTCACAATTACAAGGATATTTGTATATCTGTAATAATCAAAACCTTCAATTTTTAGCATGCCCCTATATACATAATTTAAGTTCCTTGAAAATTCTCTGAATTATGTGTATTTTCGTTTATAGTACTCATATTTATTTGTACTCCATTACCTGTTAATTAATCAAGTTTATGTTGTTTACAGCTTTAACAATACGAAACAGTTATTTTTTCGTGTGTATTTTCCCATTCAGCGAAAAATTATACACAGTAAAACTTTAACCTGCCCATTTTGTCATCGAATCGGGAAAAAACGCTGATGCAAAAAAAACTGATATACGGTATACCATAAGTTTTCTTAAATTTCCTTGAAAGAGAGTTTAATATATATACTTTCAAAATTTGATTTAAAAAATATGTTTGCGAGGAATACATGATTCTGAATATTATTATTATGTAAATATTGTAATAGAGAAAACTATTCTTAGGTGAAGAAAAACAAAACCTTATAAATAGTAATTTATGTTAATTTTTGGAGAAGAATCTATTTTTCATCAAAGCCTTTTAGGAAATGAAAAGAAAAAATGAGGGTACCCATTTCTGTTTTTTATGATAAAAAATGATGTAACACTGGTGCTTGAAATGTTATTATATTAGATTGCTATTGTTTTAGTGAATCTTTAATTGAACTTAAGTCCCCTTATGGAGAGACTGTATAAACGCAACTATATAAGATATTGTTTTATAAGTATATATATATATATATATATATTTGTAGGAATTGAGAACAGAAAAGATGGAACATTTCTTTGAAAGTGTGTCATCTCTAATGTCTAACTTGCTCAGGAGTTGTGTGCAAAAGTCAATCTATGATCTGGTAGACCTAGTGGAAGAATATTTCACTGGAAATAACTATGAGGGAGCCTACAATATAATGAAAGATCTTGGACTACCCTTAAAACCACACGTTGTTCATTTCTTTATGGTAGGTCCAAGTTAAGGTTAATAGTTTCTGTATTTTCAAAGAATTTGTTCTGTAGAAGATATGTTAAATAAAATTATGAATACAAATATTTGGAGTTATCAAGTCAATTTTTCATCAAATTTATTTTTAATAAATGTATGCACCTCACACCCCCCCCCCAAAAAAAAAAACAAAAACAAAAACAAAAACAAAGAAGGGATAAGGGAAATATTTATAAAAAACACCATAACCTCAGAAACTAAAGAACTTTATATGACTCTTGACTAATGTTTCTGGTGTGAAGGCATAATTGCTATTACTCTTCTTGAACTGTCTTCATTAAAAAAGAAATTGTAAAATAGATGAAATTGGTTAGTTCTATTTCAGAATGATCAGTAATATTTTTAATTTTTATATAGACCTTTAAATTTTTTGTGCACCATTGCACAAATATCATTTCATCTCAGTTTAAAAGTGAATATGAGGCCTTGTCATCTCAATTGTGTGTGTTTCATTCAAATTTTTACATTGTTTAAATTTCGATCTTGTGATAGTTGTATTCCTTAAGAAGTTTTAAAGATAGACCATTGATACTTGCTACATTAGTGGCAACAAATACTTGCCTAATCAAGGACTGCTCAGATGAACCTATTTTGGTTTTTGATATCAGTATGTACATAACACATTGGTGCTATTCCAGTTTGATTATATCACCATTAAGTTTTGATAACTTGTGACATGGTCATGTGTCTGAAGGTTTTTTTCAATGATTTTGTTATCCCTATTATCTAAGCTATAAAATATACCATACTCCATAAATGAGAAACATGTAGCATTGAATAATTTGTTTATATTAGGAATTTGATCTAGTTAAGGTAAGCATGGTAACCAGGGAATATATTTTTCAGTGTGAACAAAAGAAAATAAAGAATTTATTCCATGAGTGTTAATTTTATACAAAACATATGGAAATGGATTGTATTTATCACTTCATTTGTTAGCACTCAGCAACTGGGAGATGGGTATTGATGTCATGTTTATTTGTTTGTTGCAACAGGATAGGTTTTGCAAAAATAAAAACTCACATTTTGAATTTTGATAGCATTATTGGAATGAAGCATTTTCTGAAATCGCAATAATTAATCTCTCATTTGTGTTGGTTGTTTAACAATCGAAAAAATTAATGCATGCAAAAATTCTGAATTTACTATACTACTGAAAAAAATGACTTCATATTTGGTCAGCAGCCTAACAGTGATGAATTGTAATGTGATAGCTGTTTTTAGACGTGTAAAACAGTCACTTCCTGTTTTCAGATACTTTGAATTATGAGGGGGAGTATTCTAAGCATGACAACACCTGCAATTTCATGTTTTTATAGAATTTCAACCAACGAAGAACCTAGAACAAGCAAAATACAAGTCTGAAACATGTAAAAATAACCAGTGTTTAGAAAAATTTTACTCTGCAAAGAAATGAAGCGAAATTTTTTCAGCCAATACTAAAATATCAATTCTTTACTGGTGATTTAAATACCATCTTTAGCTAATGTGACTTTATCTTTGATACATTTCACTGTTTTTACAGATAGAAGATACCGTAAAAGTGGGATTACAGTTTCTGCCCTCTTTCCCAGATATTTATGACTTTTTCTGTTTAATTATTGACACTATGGTTATGAGTGTATCAAAGTTACCGTGTATAGACAGTTTATTGTTCCAAACTCCTGAAAACCTGGAGGAAAGTTATATTAGAACAGTTAGAATAGACGAAGAATTAGTCAATATTGCAAAAGAAAGGATACAAAAAATGATAACAGCAAATAGCTTTGGGCCAGAAAAGTAAGTATTTAAATGGTTATGGAGCCATTTAAAAAAAAAAGTTACAACATCTGTTGTTTATGTCAGTAGATGTTTTTTGGAAATCCATTAAATCATGTCCTTACTTAATTTAAAAGTTAACCAATAAAACACCTTGATTGCTGAAATTTCTAATTAATTGTTGATTTAACCAATAAAAATTTAAAAACCTGAAAAATTACAAAAAACGGCACATTTTACGGGACAATACAGGACAAAACAACTTCTAAATGAACAAAGAAAGATGTTTAGACAAACAACACTGAAAATATAGCAATGTTCAAATATTAAGAAACACTGAAAATAAGACAAATATTTAGATATTCAGGGACACTGAATATTACACAGGTTTTCAAACAAGCAATATTAAAAACGAGACACTTTTAAATAAGAAACACTAGAAAAAAGTCTGGTATTTCAACAACTTAAGGCCCCTTAAACTTCACAAGTTCAACTAAACCACAAAATAGGGGTAATATAGAAATGAAATTGAAAACAAGACATATTCAAACAATTGAAACATAATGGTAGATGAAATCCTTAATCTTCCTGAATACTTGTCTAAATGTGGCGTAAAATATAAATCTTTATTTTCAGATACAAGGCAACATACAAACCCTACCTGCATTTAGTGTCAGATGATTCCAAAACAAAAGTTCAGAGGTTCATACATAGGGACAAGTCATTGAGAGAATATGTTGCAGAGATAGAAAAGCTGAAAAAATTAAAGTCAGAAGTTTCATCACTTCCTGTCTTGATACCTATGCATTTATTTCTGTTGGATTGTACAAAGATTAACAAGGTTATCACATTTATAAATCAAACTTTTCACATTGTTATTTTTTAGGCAAAAACCTCAAAACAATTTTAGTTTTGTTTTCCTGCAAATATTAAGGGTAATTTCATGGCTAAATATCTCCTGAATGAAAATCAAAGTTAATTAAGTTTTGTTTTATCATAGCAATGGTTAATTCCACTTAAATGAAAAGCTTTTTCATTGCTTTACTTTTGCATAAATATGATACATTTTTTTGCCTACAGAAAAAACATAATTCATTTTAGGGGCATTTTCTTGCTTATCACAATACATATGGAAATTTGCTACATGTGCTTGCGAAAGCTATAAGATAGAAATTCAAAACTTAGAAGATTTTCTATGTTCTATTTCTTTGAATTTCTGTAGAATTCTTTTAACAACATATCACTAATACCATAAGATACTAAGGCACATTAATAGTATAAGAAATCAAAATATTTTAAACAATATTTTTTTTTACAGTGGTTGATAGAACGAGTAAATTTCTTAACAGACGTCATGGTAACCAACATCAAGGAGATGAGTAAGACATTCAACACAGGAATCTGTGAGCAGTACAACACAATTCTGACCAAGGTTTCTGTACATCCTGAAAACACTGAGGAACTAGTCAGACTGAAAAACTATGTGGAAAATCTCAAATGTGGCGAACTTTTACAATTAAAGGTGAGGCAGAAATCTAAAAGCACTTTAATATTGTAAGACTAAATGTTTCTGTAAGACTAAATGTTTCATACCATTTATTGACTTTTATTACTATTTTGGATTTTATTGCTTCACTGCTATTCAGTCTTAAAATATATAAGATCAGGAATTTGACACTAATTTTCTAACATGTTACTCCATATGAATAGTAAATAAATACAGTCAGGTAGAATTTAAATGGTTTCTGAAAATAAATAAGTTAGATGTAAGGGTCCCTTTATACTATCTACCTGATGGTTTAGAGTAAAATTTTGTAGGTTATTCTATAAGCACATCTGGACTATAAAAATATTTTTTACTAATTAAGTAAATATGATTGTGAGAAATCTGTAAAAACAGAAAAGTGTTAATGTTAGAATGATATGCAAATTACCTTCTATTTTTAGGATAAACAAGAAGTAGCTGTTGGCAATGTTATGTTCCTCTTAACTTATGCAAAATTACCTAAAGAGGACATTGGACACAATACAAACACTTTCAGTTGGGCTGACAGAATAGCTCCAATTATAATCAATAGGTAAGTCTTATTTATTAGCAGTTATTAATCTTATAAAGAAAATATGGTAAAGTACACAAATACCAGCTTATTTACCTGCCATTTTTTATCGTATTAAAAAAGATTGCATTGTAAACACAACAAGAATAGTTAGTGGTGCCAATAAAATTACTGATTATCGACCCTAACTTACCGTCATAAAACTTTACTCAGTACTGGGAATACAAAAATTGTGCTCGAAACATCAAATCCAGTAATTTGATTGGTTGACTTTTGAGTCTGAGTACCATAATTGTACATAACATTTTTATAACCACAAGGCCCTATTGCTATTCTGCATTTTACCACACTTGACACTTTGTGACAGTTGAACTGACTTCATACAACGGTCACTTTTTCACCAAGACATCAAACTTTTTTTTCTTGTGACATAAAATCAAATATTCATAAAATAACGAATAAAATAATTTGAACAAATCACAAATATGTTTATTTTGTCTAAAATATGTCGGTATTAATAGCACCTTTATATTCACTATGCTACTAATACTACTAGAGGGTTTTAAGAAAAAAGAATTTAGAATTGAGATTTATGATAGTATAGATTTTGTTTCTTGTAAGTAGACTTGATAACAATATTCGATTGCATTCATCTATCATTAACAGCTATAAGTATGCCAAGAATTTGAATCACTGTAAATTCAGAAAACATTGCATGCATTTATTATTGCGATTTTTAAAGAATAGCAAAATTGCGAGATTATTCATTGTGATTTCAGGATGATCTGCATAAAGATATGTGTATAAGATATCAGAATGCAAGTTCTTATTATTGCGATACTCACTTAATCGCATTATTCCCTTTAATAAAAACCTCGCAATAATTCTTAATTAACAGTAGTTTATGAAATCATTGTCTTTAAATGATAAAATATAAAAAGAAGATGTGGTATGATTGCCAATGAGACAACTCTCCACAAGAGTCCAAATGACACAGAAATTAACAACTATAGGTCACTGTACGGCCTTCAACAACAAGCAAAGCCCATACCGCATAGTCAGCTTTGAAATGTTTGAATATTGTATTTCTAGTGACAATGAACTGCAAAAGACCTGTGACATTTACAAGAAACGACTAGAAGACAGAAAGAAGGCATTTAAAGAATCATTGAACTCCACAGCAGCTAAGGTCAAGGGATTCACTGTCAAACATAAAATGAGTGAGGATGAGAAATACCTAGGTGAAATACAGCAAATTGGCAGAGATATTGAGGAATTCACAGAGGAGGTTTGTTGATAAATTAGACAACAATATTATGTTTGATATGACATTTCTCTATTTAAAATTTTTTTTTTGAAAGTTGTCCATTGATGAATTAAGAAATTATTAAGACAGTAAGATTCTTACTCCATCAGGCAAAATTGACAATAAAGGCTATTCTTTTTAGGTCCCCTTGATCATAAAGCTCCTTACGTATTCAGGTTTTTTTTCTACATCTATGGCTTTCAAATTTTTAGGTTTGAGCGTTCCTTATAAAGGTAAATCCAGAAAAGCACTTCAGATGCAACAAATTTTTAATAGTGTTACTTTTCTTAAAATATTGGAAAAAAAATAGATAAGCCCAATATAAGAGGTTTACCTTTTGAAATAGTGGTTGAATCCCTTCTTGTTGGATGATTTTTGAGAAACATGGTAAAATAAGGAAAATATTTATGGAGATTAGGAATTGTTGTATCTCAAATAAGTGAAACCATAAAATGACATGTACTCTCTGATTTGGGAAATATTGCTTTTGTATTATACTTGATTAAAAAGTACTGTAACCAGTTTACTTGAAAAATTCCGTAGAGATCATGACAGTAAGTACCATTAAAACGTTTAATCTGAATTTGTTTTGAATATTGCAAAAAAACATGTTGGATATCAAATCTTTTTAAACAGCCAACATTTGGTCAGGTTTACTTTAAAACCAGTAAGATAAATAAATGTTTTTTTCTTCACTACACAGAAAGCCAGGATAAACAGAGAGGAGTTGTTACTTGAATTTGATGCCATAACACCTTATAATGAGATCCAGGAAATAGCTGCAGCCAAAGAACCGTATGAGAAGTTATGGTCCACGGCTGTCAAGTTCAGAGCACAACACAAAACATGGATGAAATCTCCTGTTATCAAAGTCAATTCTGAGGAGGTTGAGGAGGAGGTATGTAAATTCTCCATGATTACAAAGAAAAAGTTCTGTTAATAAATGAACACCAGATTTAACACAGTCTGTGGAACCAACACTGGTCATCACTGGCTATCAAACTTACCCAAAAAGTTTTGACACTATTACTCATAAAAGAGTTCTCATTTCAATACCATGTTTTGTTTTGTGTATAATCATAACTACCATTCCTTTGTTGTACAAGATAAAGATATTTTCATACATGAGGATGTTTTGATATTTGTTGAGATATGGAGTGTACTGTACTGCAAATATATTGTGTATATTTTGATTGACTTTTAGGTGATAAAATTGTTTGTTATATGTAATATGTTATATGTTTTATTCATTTATTAAATGTCAGGTACTTATTTTCATAGATTTAGGTTAATCAAAAATATAAATTTCCTACAGGCTTGTTTGCAGAATTTGTTAAAACAGCTAAATATAGTTTCTATGCAAATACAATTTACCTGAATCCACAACAAATGGAACCAAGAAAAGAATGAAACTACAGTATACAGATATACTCATGTGATAAGTTTCTTATAAATCTGTATTAATGAAATAAATTTCAATTTGTTCTAGGTACAAAACTTGTGGAAGACTTCATACAAGTTAACCAAACTGTTCAACACAGCCTCTACAAAAGGAGCATTCCAGGCATCACGTAGTATCAAAAGTTCTTTGGAGCACTTTAGGATTAACATGCCTAAAATTAATGCTATCTGTAATCCTGGAATCAAACAGAGACATTGGGATATGATGAATGAGAAAGTAAGTTAATAACTGTTGAAAGGAAATTGAGCAATTCAAGTTCTTTTTTTATGAATCAGTTACATTGATTGACCTCAAGGTCAATTACTGTAAATGACAGCATTCAACAAGCCACTCTTACTGTGACATAATAACATCAGTATTGTGACATCAGAAATGTACCAGAAAATGTATGAATCTGAATGTAGTCTATTGATCTTGACCTCATGGTTCATTGATCAGTGTTAAGTTTTGTGATTTTTTTCAGTTACTAGTTACTATAAGAAAAAGGTCAGATTTATAATTAATATGATATGGTATTTGGCCACAATAAGTACTAACTGTTAATTTAAAACATTTTCAGTTATTTATTCTTAAAATATTAATTGGAAATTCTGGACGCAATTAGACTTGTAATTTGTTTTGATTATAAATTCTTTATTTAAAGAGGGTAAACTCAGTTAGTTACAATAAACTAATCTTCCCTGAGGCCCTCACATACAAATTACAATACAATCAAAAAACAGATATTTACACATAGTTAATTTACAGTCAATTAGTTCAATGTAATATTACTAACATGATAAGATATAAGGCTGTTCAAGATGTACATGTAGTCAAAAAATCAAATACAAATATAAATAAAAGAAAATACAAATACATTGTAGAAAACATAATCTTATCAGGACTGTGTTAAGTACTTCTTGATACTTTGTTTAAAAGTATATGTGTTTTGAGCTTTACGCATTTTGTTTGGTAGTCCATTCCATAACACTGATCCAGAATAAACAAAAGATTTCTTAAATAGCTCAGCTTTTGGCTTAGGAACTATCAGATTACCTTGAGTGACGCCTCTCAGGGAGTAAGGATTATTATCTGATTTCAGTTTAAACTTTTGAACTAGGTACATTGGTGCTTCTCTACGCATACATTTATATAGAAGGTTTATATAGATTTGATATTATGAATCTTTATTTGCTATATCATAATGAATTTTTCCTCTGGTAAACTTTAGGTTGGGTTTAATATGACACCTACAGAAGAAACTACGCTAGAAGAAGAACTGGCATTAGGTCTAGACAAATATGTAGAACAGCTACAGGCCATCAGTGCTCAAGCCAGCAAGGAATATGCTTTGGAAAAGGTAAAATATTGGTTATTTATGTGCAGGATATCTAAAATATTTCTTGCTATAGGAAAAGGATTTTGACTTTTTTCATAATAAAGTAAAATTTAGGCTATTTACAAATAAGGAAGAAGCCATAGAAAATAGAACAGTGATCAGTGATAAGGATACAAGAAAGATAACACCAATGTATAAAACATAGGCTATTGTATATTCAGGAATTTTTACATACATTTATTATTGCGATTGTTGTAGAAAGTACAAAAATGTAAGATTTATTGTTACAATTACAGAAAATGCTGCATACAAATAAGGATTCCAGAAAATGCTGCATACAAATAATGATTTCAGAAACTGAAGTGCAAGTTTTTATTTTTGCGAAACCTATCCCATCTCCATTTTCATAATAATTAAAACATAAAAAATATTAGCAGAGTAAAATATTTATTTTCCCTTCACAATGCATAATATGGTATTCTATCCCATATATTAGCTGATTATCACCATGCACAGCTTTCATTGAGACAAAATCTTTAATTCATTGTAATATTTTACAGGCCTTGCAAAAGATGAAAGACGACTGGGAGTCTATGTTGTTTGCTTTTGTTCCATACAAGGATACAGGGATAAATATCATGTCAGCACCAGATGAAATCCAGGTTCTCCTTGACGACCATATCGTCAAGACAACCACCATGAAAGGTTCACCTTTCATTGCACCATTTGAAACAGAAATTAATGAATGGGATTTGAAACTGGTATGTGATTAGTTTCATGTGTTACATTTTTGATTTTTAAGTCAAAGGTCAACCATGAAAGACTCATCAGTATTTAAGTAATACTGCTGCAGTTAGTGAGAGTCAAAGTCTCAGGTTTTACATGTATTCAAAGCTTATAGTTTTAAGAGAATATCTAGAATGTTGGATACTACCGAAGCATAACAATCTGTGCTCCTTTTACAAAAAAATTGACAATTAAAATTGTACAAAGTCATACTGAAATGTACATGTCTTGCAAGTATTTTTCCTTGTAAGATTTTTTTATTAAAATTGTTGCAGATTCATATTTAGACAGTGTACTAAAATATACTAATTAGATCCCTTTTTCGGTTTGTTTAGAACATCCATTTTACTTAAATAGATTGATTTTGTTCTTTTTACATCCTGGTTTTCAAAGTGATCAAGCTGTCTGTTAATGCAAGAATTCATTAACAACCAAAATCAGCAAAGCTGTTAACAGGGTAAAATAGAACAAAATCTATCACACAATTTTAGTAATTATAATAATTTTCTTGCCCCATATAATGATAATATTAAAATGGAGGAAAATAAAAGGTTCAGGTAAATAGGAATTAAGTGTGGATCTATATGTGATATCATCTGCACAGAGTAGTTCAGAAAGTATTTAGCAGCTAGTAGAGAGATTCATTCTGAATACATTTACAACACAAAGTAGTTTGATGTGAAAATAGATCTTGCTAATTCCCTAGCTGAATATGCTACGTACACTTGCCAAAAAATTTTAATTTTAGATATTCACAATGATGGCATGTCAGCATTTTTAGAAATTGTGACAAGAATCCCTTACTAGAGTTTTTAGTTGTAACATTTCTTGTATTTATAGCATAGAATAAAGGATATATTAGACTCCTGGTTAAAGGTGCAAGCAGCCTGGTTGTATCTGGAACCTATATTTGGATCACAGGACATCAGAAATCAAATACCAGTAGAAGGGAAAATGTTTGAAGAAGTTGATGAACACTGGTATGTTACACTTTATTGTTATTTTTAGCAACCATTTTAGTCATCAATGAGTAGATCATGAATTTAAGAATATGAAATAGTCCAATTATAGCATAAGTTGATTAATTAATAACACAAACCTTAGATTGAAAATATATTCAGTGTTGTCCTGAATAAATGCTACAGTATTTTTTGTAAGAGAGATTTTGCTACAGGATATAAAATGACTAACAATCTATTGTGTATGAATGGAAATTGATGCATAATTTACTGGTGAAGAAAATTGCAGCTGAAAGAGCACAACTTGCTGAATAGAATAAAGATTAAGTTGCCTAAAGTCAGGTATATAGACATTAACATGTAAGGTATGCAATACAGACCCTTAATATTTACCTTAAAGTCCCTAAGCTAATCGAAAACAGTAGAAACAGGTACGGATTTTGTTACAAGTACTTTGTAACTTTTCTTAAATAGATATGCATTAGTGAACATGCTTGAAATAAAGACAGCAGTTGTTGTTAGAACATCAGCTTACTAAAGTTGATAATTATTTGGGAATAGGGATAAAAGCATAAAAGTGATTATAGATATTGACAATGTATTTAACATTATTTGGTTAAGTATGAAAATGTTATGCAATTACAGGAGAACAATAATGGAGAATGCTGTCAAGGACTGCAGAGCTTTGGTGGTCACTTCTCAAGATGAGATGTTAGAGAAATTACAACGCTCAGAGGTAATAACGATGAGATAGATAGCCTGCTAACATTTAACATAATTGCGTTTCTTTATTTGGCTAAGCCTCCACTCTCACTGTTTTCAACAAGCAGTGCATAAGATGAAAATAAGACTATCCAGCTAGATGACTTTGACCTTTGATTTGAGTGGATCTCTGTCTGCTTGCAATCAAATCTTTGGAAGTATAGAAAACTTGTATCAGTTTGAAAGATTATGGTAAAATCTTTTTAATTTTATGAAAAAGAATGTAAACATGGTACCATATAAAACTTAAGTTTTGGCAAGGATCCATATATATTCGATATGCTTGAAAATCACTGAAAGTACCATTTCAACAAGTTTGTAGAGAACCATGGTGTAATCCCTCCTCCCATAAAAAAAAGTTGATATATAATGGTTTTTGACAGTCCCAATCAGCAAGTCTGTGTTTACAATTAATCACCACAAATGTACCCCATTTATAAGTAAGGATAGAATAAAAAAAGTACTTACTTACTAGAATTATTACATAAAAATCATTTCTATCAATTATATATTAATTTTATGTTTATCTTTGTCTTTTTTCTAGTCTATGTTAGATGATATCCAAAAGGGACTGAATGATTATTTGGAAAAGAAGAGACTGTTTTTCCCAAGGTTAGTATTAAGTTCAAGGTTCCAATCTTTCTTTAAAACATAAGGAACGTTTCATTTTATATATAAAGAAGTATATACTCAATTGATTTATTTATTAATGAGACAGCAACCAAACAATACAACCAAACCAAAAAGAAGATGTAGATTGTCAGTAATTCTCTGAAATTTTTCCTTTTTTGCATAAGAATTGTTATATATTTTTTATGAATAGGTTTTTCTTCTTGTCTAATGATGAATTGCTGGAGATATTGTCAGAGACAAAAGATCCTCTTCGTGTACAACCACATCTCAAGAAATGTTTTGAAGGCATTTACCAACTGTCCTTCACTGAAGCAAAGGTCATCATTGCAATGGAGTCTGCTGAGAAAGAGAAAGTAGAATTCTGTAAGGTCATAATACCAGCTGATGCTAATGGATTGGTGGAAAGATGGTTATCACAGGTCAGTATGAAATAGTAGTTCCTTACAGGGAGGAGATGTGAAGGTGTGATACCTCTCCTCCCCCTATCTCCATTTCAAGATATGTAAATGTATAAATATTTTGGTATTTTTCTTCCTCCTGTTAACTTTGCAAAACTTGAAATATGACACTTGAAAGGAACAAAACCATATCTATATATTGTTGTGGAACAAAGATTGACTGCCGCACATTAGGCTTTGATGAATTACCTTTCAAGGCACTTAATGTCCTCTACATGAATAAAATTACAAAGATTCAGTTTTATTATATAATCTTCAATCTTAATACCAGCTGATATCAGACCAGCACTACAGATTGACATTTTTACAACATTTTTTAATAGGTTGAAGAAGTGATGAAGCTAAGTTTACGAGTAGTATCAGCTAAAGCTGTACAAGCATATACAAAGAAGCCACGTTGTGAATGGGTGTTAGAATGGCCAGGGCAAATTGTTTTGGCAGCTAGTCAGATACACTGGACATCAGAGGTTACTCAGGTAGGAATAGCAAAAGCAAACCTTATTTGATGACTAGTTAATTGCAGGGAAAGTCAGAGTTGAATCTAACAGGTAAAAATGGTCAGGACAAATTTTTTAATTCTTTTATATCAGGATGATGTAGAAAAAATATATACATGCATACACATGTATAGACGTGTAGTTGAATAAAATAGATACCAGAGGTCACTCAAGCTGTTTATGCATTTTATCAAGTGTACATTACTATGATGTCAAACTTTTATCAAAATTTGCAAAAAGACAGTTCTCATTATAGAGTAATGATTTTTTTTTAATTGACATTTTAATCATTGTACAAGTGGCCTAATGATAATTCTATAAAAACAATACAGCCAACCTTTTCTTGTGAGGGGGACTGTTGTTAAAAACCAAAATAATGATTTAGTGAAAATGAATTTATGTATAGGCAAACAGGAGTAAAACATTTCAGTTTGTTCAGAATTAGAATATTTTTTAATGATGTCATATCTGATTAAATTTTTTTTTCAGGCAATCACTGGTGGTTACCTAGGTCCATACTTAGCTAAAAGTAACAAACAAATAGAAGAAGTGGTCAAACTTGTCCGAGGTCAGCTGACATCTATGGCTAGAATAACACTTGGTGCTCTTATTGTTATTGATGTCCATGGTAAGTGTTTGTTATAAATTGTTGTTTTGTTATTCTAGAATAAATTTACAGTGACCTTCAACCCTAAAATTTAACAAAGTAACTGCTTATTGAAGTTAACAGACTTCTTTTTTTATTTAAAATTTGATTTTCTATTTGTTGTTTTCTATTTTGTTTTAGAAGTGTAGACTGTAATCGTATCCAAATAATTATTGGGATCATTAATATTCTTAATTTTACAGCAAGGGATGTTGTAAATAATTTAAAAGAAAAAGAAATCAGGAGTCCACAGGATTTCTCGTGGATCAGTCAGTTAAGATACTACTTTGAGGAGGAGTCTGTAATGGTACGGATGATAACAACCTGTGTGGCCTATGCCTACGAATACCTTGGGAATACAGGACGTCTTGTCATTACTCCACTTACAGATAGGTGTTACAGGTATAAATTGTTTTAAATGGACTTATACCACATCTACTTATTTTTATATTCCATAAATTATTGGTTTTTAACAATAGAGTCCAATATTACAGATATATTTGAATTATCCATGCATTCTATTGCATGTAATTTGTTGAGAGATTTTAAGTTATCCAAATGTATTCTGCATGTCTTTTTGGAAGGTTTTTGAATTATTCTTTATTTAACTATCATACTTAAAGTTTAGTATAGCAAATTTTAGCAAATAAAAAGTGGTAAGGTGCTCAAAATACAATTTCTATACAAAGGGCATCATTTTTTGCTTCCTCTTTTTTTTCTTTTTTTTTGTTAAATGGATATTTTTTTGATATTCCAGCTCAATTGTTAAATTGAATATGACATGTACAGATGTTTTTAAAGTTATCTCTCATTTCGTATTTGAAACAGAGGAAACAGGTTCAGTAAGCCCTATAAGGCTTTTTATTTCTCCTTAGAAGATGCCTGAATGTTTCCCAACAGTGGTAATACTTGCAAAGAAAATCATATTCTGTTTTTATACATTAATATTAAAACATTTTATTTTTATGCTTTTAGAACCTTGATGGGAGCTTTGTTGCTGAACTTAGGAGGTGCACCAGAAGGCCCAGCAGGTACTGGTAAAACAGAAACGTCAAAAGATTTAGCCAAAGCAGTGGCTAAACAGGTGGGTGTCAATAATTACAACTATGTAAAGGTGTAATATTTACATGCCATAGGGTTAAACTAATTATTTGAGTACCCCCTGGTTTTTTTTCTCTTATAGTGGAATAACAAAATTGTTGCTTCCTCCACCAATAAAAATTGGCCGCCAAAATATAGTTTGATGCTGAAAGACACCATGAAAAAGAAATCAAATTCAATTTTAAATAGCAAGGTAATGAACAGTACAGAAATCATGACCTCATGGAAATATTTTAATTAAAATATAATATAGAAAAGAAAAGGTTTGTTTCATAAAACCCAGTAATGATATCAATATCAGTCATACTATTTATCTGTGATGTTGTATTGCTTCAAGTCTTAATTTGTGTTTATATGCATTTTATTATTTTTTTCACAGTGTGTTGTGTTCAACTGTTCTGATGGTTTGGATTATCAAGCCATGGGAAAGTTTTTTAAAGGGCTTGCCCAGTCTGGTGCATGGGCATGCTTTGATGAATTCAACAGGATAGAACTGGAAGTGAGTATAAATTAAAACTCATTTGTTTACTTTTGATTGGAAATTACTTTTTTTAAGTTATTGAGACACAAAGAAAAAGTCTTGACCACTGAACCATCTTGTTACAATAGGATACAAAAGAACACATGATAGTTGAAAGACTCTTACATTTTTTACTTTTACCACATGACGTAGATAGGTAAAAGGGAATGTTTGTGCTACTACATTTTGTGTCTGTACTAAGTCAGGCTATCTAGACCATGTATTGTTTGTCTTTATATGTCTATTTTCTCAGAAAAGTTATGTGTTGATGTTTTGTGTGGTGTGTTGTCCTGTCCAATGTTTTTGGTAATTCATGGTATCAATTTTATGTTTCATATCTCATTGATTTTATATAAAAAATTGAAAAATTAGTAATATTTATTGTATATGAGATTTATCAGAATATCTCACATTGCATTGTGAAAATAGAAATGCCAACATTTTTAGATTGTGTCCTTTGCCTTCCCACAATCTTGGACACCCCTTCTGTCATGAGCATAGACATTGCATCATATCTGATATTTATTAAAAAAATATTGTATTTCAGGTGTTATCAGTGATAGCACAACAAGTACAGACTATACAAAGGGCTGTAGCAGAACAAGTGAAGATGTTTGTGTTTGAGGGAACTGAGATATCATTGGATAGAACTTGTACTATTTTTATTACAATGAATCCTGGTTATGCTGGTAGAGCGGAACTTCCAGATAATTTGAAAGTAATTAAATTCATATTGTGTACAAATGAAAAAGAAAATTTTAATATTGTATATGGGTTCATATTTGTTCACCTTTATTTTTGCAATGAAATGAATCATTCAAATGTAATGTTTATAGATAGAAATTCTAAAATACATCCTTCACATAAATATTGTGGAAAGCATAAAACAAAAAACTGAAAGAAAAAGAATTGATGAATACAGATCTCTTAAATAACAAAGAACAAGAGACATCTTAGTATACAATAACTGACTGAAACAAGCAACAAAAATGGTCTACAAACAATATTACAGAAAAAGAATGACAGGTTGAAGAATAGAATTAACATTTGTGTGTTTTGAATAATAATGAGCAATCAAACTGTTTTAAATATAGATTCAGCACTGTAAGAAAGCTACACAACAACTACCATAATTGCAGAATTAGTAAATTCAGATTTATATTATAAGAATTTTTTCACATTGTTATGTGAAATTATAGTTTAGCTGTTCAATTAAATAAAAATTTCTGATTGGTCAACTATAGATTTATTTGAATATATAAATGGTAATTGACACTAAATTTATTTCCTTTCAGGTGTTATTCCGAACTGTAGCAATGATGATACCGGACTACGCAATGATTGCCGAGATATCTTTATATTCTATGGGTTTTGTTGATGCTCGAAGCATGGCTACAAAGATAGTAGATACATATAAACTGTGTTCAGAACAATTGTCTTCCCAGTCTCACTACGATTACGGAATGAGAGCTGTCAAGTCGGTATTGACAGCAGCCGGAAATCTTAAACTGAAATATCCTGAACATCAGGAGGATGTATTGGTGCTCAAATCTATAAATGATGTTAATCTTCCAAAGGTAAATTATCCTCTTTCTGCCTTTCTTTGATTTTAATGTGTATTGTTGAAGGAAGCCAGAGTGCCTTGGTTATGAGATCTTTTTATTTATAATGATAATTGTAAAATTTAACAATAGTGACCTATATGTCCACATCATTTGAACTATGGTGGATAGTTGTCCTATTGGCAATCATACCTTCTCTCTTTATTTTCATACTTATACCCAATGACATTTCCTTGTTAGAGTTTGTTAAAAACTAATTTACATTTCTTTTACAGTTTTTATCCCATGACATACCATTGTTTGAGGGTATTATATCTGACTTATTCCCTCAAGTAGAACTACCTCAGATAGATTATGGACATTTGGAGACAAGACTGAAAGAAAACCTCCATAAACGAAAGTTACAAAGTGTACCATGGTTTATAGAGAAAATTATTCAAGTAAGAGTATATTAAAACTTTTATTTAAAAAAGTTATTACAAGGATTGAAATATGAATTCTAATTATTTGCTTATTATGATTTGACAAGAGTTTTAATCATCTAGTCTGAGAATGAAATGCAGAGTTTTAAATTTCAAGCATCTTGAAATCTAATGCACATTTTGCATGCATTACAAAATTTGAAAAAAAAATGCTACCAGTAATGACATAGCATTTAAATGGAAGAATTATGATTTTAACTTTGTATGGAAGTGTATAAGTACCAATTTTTAAAAGAAAAACAAGTAAACTAAAATGAATTTAAATGGTTATTTAAAACTCCCAAGGGTAAATGATCAAATGGAAATATGATGAAAGAATTTATAACTTACCCTTATACAAGTATGCATGTTATCAGCTATTTTAGTTAGATATGTGTAATATACCATACCCTAAAACATCAATGACCAGCTGAAATTTATCACTTTTGCACATTACTAAAAAAGAAAATAAACAAATATCTTGATGACTTCCAGCCCTAGTATATCCGTTATGATTCCTTAGTTAAAAAAACTTTTTTCTAGAAATGTGTGATATTAAATTGAAATTTATTTTTTTCAGATTTATGATATGATATTGGTGCGGCATGGTTTGATGATAGTTGGGGATCCTTTAGGAGGAAAAACTAGTGCATTTAAAGTGTTGGCAGAATCCCTTGGTGACCTCCAGAAAAGTGGGGAGATGGACGAATACAGTGTAAGACACCTTTGTAAATGTTACAAAATTTTAATCTTTTTTTTAGTTGTACTGTTACACAATTCATGCAGATTTCATTTGCAGTATAAACAAATGTTGATTTTACTCCTAGTAGATTTGAGCACTTGATGATCAATATGTTTTCAAGTATTTTTTTTAAAGGTCATAAATTCAGGCATGATGCAAAATGTTATTTGCATAAATGAAATTTAAAAGCAACAAACTAGTGTTTATATATCTAAAAATAACTTTCAATTGTAGGGTTTAATTAGGGCGCAGCCGAATGGCGGACGCCCTATAGTGATCAGTCCGTCTGTCCATCCATCCATAACAAATTGTGTCCGCTCTATATCTAGAGAACCGTTATGATTTCAAAGTTTATACTTGACATGTATATTAACCAACACCAGAGGGTGAGTCAAAATGTATGTACAACTTCTTAGGTCAAAGGTCAAGGTCAAAAACTTTGGTTTCAGTTGACAACCCCATGTCCAATGATAAAGATACAAATTTTTTATCACACATTATTCACAACGGGGCCCACAGAGATGGCTCCCATCTCAATGATATCTAGTTAGCAAAGTACCTCGGTAGTAAAAAAGAGTAATTAAGTTTGGAACTTGTACACTATTTGGATCAGGGTTCAGTCAAGTGCAAGATTTGAGTTTAGTGTTAAGGTACGTACTATAAGGTTGAAGTCAAGGATATTAATATTAGGGATGGATTATACTCACAGTATTACCCTATAATTACATTGTTCTCATAGATTTCATGCAGAAGAATACATAGACATATCATTCCATGCAGTCTTTACTATTTCTATACTATTCTATTCTATTTTATTTCTTTAGGTGAAGTACAGAGTAATTAACCCCAAGGCTGTGACCATGGGTCAGCTGTATGGTAGATTTGATTCTGTATCACATGAATGGTTTGATGGTCAGTTTTCTAAACATTATATTAAGCATTATATAAATATATTGTTCAGGTTATAGTTCGAATATTTAAAGTGTATACATAAGTTTTAGTAAAAATGTAAAATCCCTTTATAGCTTACTGTTCGGTGTGAGCCAAGGCTCTGTGTTGAAGACCGTACTGTGACATATAATGGTTTACTTTTATAAATTTTGACTTGGATGGAGAGTTGTCTCATTGGCACTCATACCACATCTTCTTATATCTATATGATTCATGCATTGTGGTGGCATTATAAGGATAGAATGTGAGCCATTCCCCTGTAAAACTTTCTTAGACACCATAGGTTATTCTTTGACTACAGTATACTTGTATGGTACTAAGAAAACTTTAGAAGACTCAATACAACATCAGTAAACTACATATGGTATCAATGAAGAAGTTTACCTAACACACAAATATTTATATGAATAAGATATCTAACATAGAAATCAACACCTGAACATTTGAAAAATCTAATTTGGCAGAATCTCTGCCCACATGTTTTCTTAAATTTGTTTTCATAAAATTTTATACTTGTGTAGTAGTTCCAAAAGTGAACATACATTATTGTAGTGTAAAAAGTGTTTTGTGTCAGAGGTTACAGACATTTATAGCTTATACAGTTTTCTTCTGCTTTATTGATCACTCTATAAACCATTTTAAGTTTTTTATTAATCTGACAATGTTAAGTGCTTGGGTCAGCTTCTTTCAGAACCTTGTTTTTGAGAATGAAAATAAATATTTTCCATGTTAACAGGTATATTAGCAAATACATTCCGTGAACATGCAGCAGACATGTCAGATTACAGGAAGTGGATTATATTTGATGGACCTGTGGATGCAGTGTGGATTGAGAACATGAACACAGTATTGGATGATAATAAAAAGGTACTGCAAAGTGGTTTACCTTAGTAGAGTTTACATTTTTAGTTCTTGGACCAACCTGTTTGGCAGTCATGTTATTTTTTTGTTCTATTATTCTGACCTTCCTGAAAGGTCAATTTACATGAGGGAGATTTTCTTGATTTTATCTTAATTTGTAAATTAGCAAAATTAAAACAAAATATTCCATTTTACAATATAATGATGTGTTAACTAGGCAGCAGAATCTCAAACTTTCCAAAAACATCCTGTGGACTTTTATTCTGTTTGTGAGTTAATTGGCCCAGTTAACTTCTAGAAAAATTGGTTAATTCCTAGAATAGATGAATTATTGCTCTTCTATTTCTAGACTTAATAGTAAGGCCTTGTATGCTTATTTCACATTGAGAAAAGAAGTCAACATTTTTTTGATAGTTCTCTTACAGATTACAATTTTTTTCAATTGTTACTTTTGGATCTAATTCATACCAAAGAAGAAGTAAGTTTTGAATGTTAGGTGGAAACATATGCTTGTATAAGAATTTTTATTCAAGTTAAAACATATCACTAAATAATTCTGGTCTTTTTACACAAATGGGATTCATTATTTAAATTTCAGCTTTGCTTGATGAGTGGAGAAATTATACAGATGAACAACAAACAGAATATGATATTTGAAGCTCAGGATTTAGAACAGGCCTCTCCAGCTACAGTAAGCAGGTAAGTTAGCAGGGATGCATCATCCTTCATTAATTACACTGTTGGAGTATTCAGTAGATTAGTTGGTAGAGCAGTGACTTATTCTGCAGAGTGGCATTCTTTATCCACAGTGATTAATTTGGAAGAAAAGAAATCTTCCCCAATCAAACATGTAATTTCTTTCATTCAAGATGCCAATTATTTTGAGATTTTGAAAATTTTTAGTATATGTCCCCTGCAGATTCAAAGTTCTTTTTGGGTGTACATCAGTAAGTTTCATAATATTTTTATTATGTAAAACACAAGTCCTTCGGAATTGATTCTCCCATGAAAACAATATTTATAAAGTCAAAAGGATACCGGTAGTACATATATTTATTTTATGCATTGCTTTTAGGGTTGGTATGATCTACCTAGATCCATTACAGCTTGGCTGGGATCCACTGATCAAATCCTGGATGGAAAATGAATTACCACCAAATTTGAATGAAGAACAAAAAGAAACAATACAGGTTTGGCATGTGACTTTATTATAGATGGTGTAGGTTTTGTTTGCTAGATTTGGCCTGGATTACCTGAATAACCTTGACTTTAATCCAAGTTTGAATTTAACCTGATTTGATATACTTTTTTGGTTGGAAAAATCCATTTGAAGCCTTTTTCACCAACAACAGCACCTTTACCATGCAGGTATTACAACTAAATGCATGATGTATATTTTAATTGGTTTCTGAATCGGGTAAGGATCCAAGAAAATTGATAGATATTGAAAGTTTGTATTATTATTTTAAACAAAGAGAGATTTGCAAATAAGAACAGACATCGAGAAAGTCAGTAGTTTAATGTATATGTATTGTAGGCTGGTCATTATATTTTGCAACAAGTCAATTTTATATTTTGTATCCAAGGGTGAAAATTGTATGTAAAACTATCTACTCCCCTTAAAGCCTTTCTAAACATAACAGTTGATACAATCAAATTGCAACTGGAAAGTTAACTGGTTTATGGCAAGCACTCTTATGATCAGATATCAGAAAAGTTATGTCAATGACAGTCCTTAAGTTTCCTTAAAATCTCAATGAAACCGTACCCTTTGTCCTTTTCCAACAAATACATACAAAATATAATTTTTTTAATAGAATGTAGATTTGAAGGTCTTTGTCAAAATTAAGATATTTTAAATAAGTAAGTTCTATATATTTGGGATTTAAAATACTGGTACATGTAACAGTAAAAAATAATTGTGTCATAGTAATTGTGTTGATAATCATAATAACTGTAAATTCATAATTTTTTGTGTTCATTTATTATTGTGATTGTTGAAAAAAAAAGAGATATAAGTCATTGCAATGTCAGGAAATTCTGCTTTCAAGAGTTTTTATTTTTGTGTAACCTATCCTGTTGCAATTATTGCAGTAAAAAAAACAAGCAAAAAATTCTGAATTTACAGTAGTTGTAATGCTAGATAATGTAGAAAATGTTTGCTGTTTTGTTTTTGCTAGCTACTTTTTGACTGGTTGTTGCCGCCATGTTTGACTTTTGTGTCAAAGTATTGTCGCTGTTTACTGACATGTCATCCATTACATTTGACAAAGAGTATGTTGACATTATATGGATGTATGTTAGATGATGTCAGGTTAGTATCAGTTAATTTTTTTCAAAAATGTATATTAGATATGTTTGGTGATAGAGTTAGATTTCTATTATTTTATTCTTTTATTTATATGAATAAAAGGAAATGTGGGAAATGGGTCAATGAAACAGCAACCAACAACACAAAAACCAAAAGCCAAAAGATATCTAGAGGTCATGCTAAGATCCTCAACATATGTCATTTAGTCTGGTGGAGAGTTGTCTCATTGGCAATCATACCATATCTTCTTATCTTTAAATAGACAATTGTCTTATGGCATTTTAAGTTGCAATCTGATTTGTAAATAGAAATTTACTATAATGTCAACACTTTTATGCGCCCAGTCTCAATTTGAATTGCACTATAAAAACTTTAAGAAATATTGACTTTGAAGGAAAATCGGTGACGATGAAGAAGAAGATGATTTTATTGATGAAGGTGATGAAGAAAATCTAGATGAAGATTCAGAACAAGAAAAACCTCAGGCTTCTGAAGAGGAGAGGAAAATGATAGAAGAAAGAACCAATATGGTTGTTAGTTACTTCTTCTTTTCCATTGTCTGGTCTATTGGTGCTATATTGGACTTAAATTCAAGAATCAAGTTTGATGAGTTTTTCCGTGCTTTGTGTGAGATGGATGCCAGCACATCCAAATACCCAAAGTAAGTGTCTGTTTAGTATTGATACACATCCAAATACCCAAAGTAATTGTCTGTTTAGTATTGATACACATATATAAAATTCTGCATATTTGACATTTTACATTTGTAGTTTTATGTTTTATGTCTTTCCAGTTTTATTATTTTAATAATCTTTTTTCCTTTAAATTAAATTAAATTCTTGGATTAAATTAAATATAGTGATTTTATTTTAGGTCCATAAATAAGATCTTCTCCTTTACAAAGTACCATTTAAGTTAATTGATAAAGAAATTAAGTCTATGTTTAGAATTTGACTTACTAAAGTTATCTGTGCACAAAAACTGAAATCATGTTTAGTTTTTATATTGAAGACAATTTGATTTAATACTATATGTGTTAAAGAATCCATTTTGATATTACATATTACAAAGTGATTAGTTTATTAGATATATTCCATACCTGTTTTTATACAAAATACTATGACGTTAGTTCTAGTGGAACATATTTTTTTATTACAGAATTGAATTCCTTTATTAAATCCTTATCCTGCACGAATATTGTCACTGTAGTTGTACTGCTTAACCAACAAACTAAAATCATACTGTCAATCCTGTACAGTCAAACTCACCATTGGGGACACCTCTTTGAAGGGGTCACCTCAGCTTAAAGGCCATTTTCTTATTATTTAGTAAGTTTAATTTACCAAAATTAATAGGTCACTTTGTACTGATCTAGTTTTATATATCGGTCACTGCAGAAATTTAGATAAAAAAACAAGTTTTGATACAGTGTGATAGCATTGTTTGTTGGAAAAGCAGTAGCAAAAATTTGTTAGTCATTTCCAAGTTGTGTCTTACATAATTTGAAAATATTTATGACAGAGTCATATCATGTCCATAAATGTTGAATCACTGTTAAATATTAAAGCTCTCACAACAGTAACACCACCTTAAGGAGTAAGGCAAACTTTTAGAGTGGAAGATTTTCAACCTCGTACAAATGCAACTGGTTAAATAAACAGATATTAATGAAAGCTTTTTGAAAAGGGATAGCTGTTGAATATATAAATTGTTCATACAAAACATAAAGTGCAATAAATCAATGGGTATATTTACATGATTTCGCTGTGAATTCAATTATTTCCTTTTGAGTATCAAATCTTGCCGATTGGTTTTGTAGATACTTGAATTTGTGGTTTTAACAAATTCTTTAAGTAGGCCTATAGGAAATTTATATTTTGTTGCCTGCTAAAATTGAATGTTCACCTTTACCTCAAAAATTCACAAATAAATATTAATTCACAGCAGCTGTTACTAAAATTAAAAGCATTTGACCAGATGCAAGAAAATATGTGTACAAAGGTTGGAACATTTCTGCTCTAAATCTTTAGAATCTAGTTGTCCTAAATTTCAGTTTTGACAGTTGGAAAATTAAGACACACATTGGAATGATGGAACTTAACACTTACACTATATAATCAGCTTAATGTAATTTAAATGTTATAGGGTTAGAGGCATGACTAGGTAAGAACCCCAGTGAGGAGGTAGATTGAGGAATTCCCATTAGCTATAAGTAGTATCCTCCCATATGTCTGTTCAAGCTTCATGTGGCAAGAATGCTGGCGTTTAAGTTGTTAGATATCATATTTGTATTTTATTGCAAGAAAGCATTTCTCTATAAATCTGCTCAAATCCTGTCCAAACACAAGACATGCTAATATGTGAAGAAGGTGATGAAAAGTTTGATTTATACATTTATGCATAAGTCGGATGAATTCATCCCTATGATATATAGAATTGTAAATGCTTCAGCTAAAACAGAACTTACCTTAGATAGAACCCAAAGTGTGAATAATTTTAATTTTAAGAATTGTGAAGAACAATTCTAGTAAAAAACTCTACAAGTCAGCATTGAGATTTTAGTTGTTGTCTTTATGTACAAATTTCAGAAGTCTTTGGATTCCAAATGATGAATGTAGAAATTGTAATCCAGTGGATGCAAATTTCTACTGAAAGTTATGTACAAAAAATTTGATTAACTTTTATTATTTCGTTATGTAAGAACTAATACTCATGATGTCATGAAATGGGTTTCTACGTGTATGAATCTTTTGGTTGCCATGACTCCTACTGATAAAATAAGACCTAAAACATACACAGTCACAGTATTTCTAAAGTTTACAAGTTGAAAATGTTGGGTATCTTCAATCACAAAATCTACTTCTTGTGTTGTAGTAAATAGTTATGTCTATAGTAAAATAAGTGGTTGTGAAACTTAAAATTAATGTTGAGCTTATAAATACAGATCCCCTATAATTGAATATTACCCTCAATCTGTCTCAAGCTACAAGTATGGGATGGTGGTAGATTTTATTTCAATATTGTTTGCTTATATACATTTTAGTTCTATTATGAATTGAACAATATTGGCGACAGTTTATATCAGTGGTTTATTAACAAACATTTAGTATTTAGATTTTAACATGGGATGTTTTGTTTGTGAACATGACTAACTTGCATGATTTGAAAATTTCTGTTTTCTAAATAAATCATTAACAAAAATTAAGAAAATTATATTCTTCTATTTTTAGTGACTGAAATTAATTGGCCACACTGTGATGGTTTAATGTTAATCTATAATTCATCAAATTTTCTGTTTTCTCACCATTTGAATTTTCCGGATTGATTCTTTGTATCCCATATTTGCAATGTATATCTGATATAAAAAAAAATGTGCAAGTTTAAATTTTAAAACCTCACAACAGCCCTGAAATAAAGAATATGGAGAATTACAAGTTACAGTTATCGTTTTTGGTTGTGTATACTTGACGCATAAAACATTTTTTATTGACAATCACTCTTCAGAAAATATTTTAAATTGACAAATATTTAACTTGCAATAATTTTTTTGACTGATACCTTTTGTAGAAATCATGAGTTTATCAACAATTTCCTTTTTTTCAAAGTGATAATGTTCCAGTTATTTCCATGTTAGTAAGATATTAAAGCAAGTAGAGTGTATTCTTGTTTTGCAATGTACATATTTTGATATACTAATTCATATTTAATTGATGATAGACCAAAAGATTTAAAGTTTGCACGCAACCTGTTAATTCCAAAGAAAGGAACAGTTTATGATCATGTTTACATCAAGCGCCAATATGGATCCTGGAATCTGTGGAGCAGTATGATCACTCCATTCAGTATTGATGAAAAAGCAAAGGTAACATTGAAGACACATGTCAATTTCTCTTACAATGTCCAAAATTCACTGGAAAATTTGTATTTTATGTTTTGCAGAGCTTTTGTTGTTGCAATGCAATGCTTATTGGACCACATGAACTTCATTTTTTTATTTCTGATGCACCCAAATTAATAAAAACATTTCCAATAAGTGTAACTTATTTCTTCTTATTCTTTAAAAAAGTACCAGATACTTATTACTTACAACCTCAGTGAACATCATGAAAGTTTTCTTCTATATATCCTTTCTTCATATTCCCAAAATTTCATCTCATCAATGACTTTGATATTACATATTTGAAAATTGTTTGTTATGCTTAAACACAAGAACTTGTATTGTTACTTGTACACAGTATTAATTTGTTTATAATTCAGTTATTCTGAATTATGTCTGACACATGGGTAATTTCCTTAAGTTATAAATTTTCATTTGCTTAAATGTTTGCTCATTTTGACTAGATGTGTATTCATTTGCTTATGTGTTCATTTGCATAAATGTTTGCTCGTTTGCTTATTTTTAATGTCTATTTTCCAGGCAATTCAGGTAAATTTAGATCATATATTGCATGTACTTTATATAGAATATTCATTCTGGAAAGGGACAATATAAAATATTTAAAAAAACATGGAATATTGATTGCGGAAAGGAACTAAATGTAAAATATTAAAAAAACATGAAGTATTATTCTGGTGAGGGACAATGAAAAATACTAAAAAAATTAAATATTGAGTCTGGAAAGGGTCAAAATATAAATATATAAAACAAGAATATTCTTTGGGAAGAGGTACAAGATATAATTTATTACAAATATTCATTCTGAATATAATTTTTTTTAAGGTATCAGGTTTTTTTCATCATGACATTTTATTTTCCCAAAGCATATGTTTTGATTGGTTAAATCTGAGGGTAGTCCAGGAAGATGTAAGGACTTATCATATGAATGAGGGACTGGTCTATATTTTTTTGAAAAGATAAAAGTGGTCCAAGTGTGTTTTCATTGTACATCAAATTATTGAAACAACAAGAGATGTGTTTCAAACAGTCACATTTAAAGTATTAAACACCATTCTTAGACTGAAATAGCTAAAAGATAATATTTTATAGTCACACTTATTTGGTTGATTTGTTGAATTTTTCAAATGAAATTGTCGGTTTTCAATTTATTTTTGTTTAAAAAAGATTTATATAACATTAATACTGAAGTTTATAAAATAACACTTTGGTTTTTCCCCTGACATAAGACAAAAAAAGTATGGATTAAGTTGAACTAGTAATAATTTAAAATTCAACACGTTCCAGTTTGAATTAAAATGAATGTTGATTAAAACAATTCGTTGATTTGTTGATATTGAAAACTACTGGGAATTTATTTAAATACAATAAACATAAGATATAGAAATATTCCAACATTTAATCATTTTAGATTAGTTATATACATATTGCATGCCTGTGCACATGTGCATTAACGCTGTTTATCTAATTCTTTTAAAAATATAAGGTTAAAGTATTTAATGTCACCAATTGAATTCATATGGCATTTATACATCTTGTTAAATGTGAAATTTGGTGCAATTATGTTGATATATTTTCAATCAAGACCTATAAGAGTGAAGTCCCTTTTAATTGGTATCTTCATGTATTTCATATACAAAGTACCAGTTTTGTTGGCTTAACAAAAATATATATCAGCATAAAATTTAAGGGGATTCCAGCTTTCAGTTTTATTTTGAAATATCCCCTTTTTTTCTTGAAATCAAATAATTTCCAGATTTAATTATGCAAAAATCACTTTAATAATCAGAATGTTTTTTTTTTTATTATTTATGGGCAAGGGGGTTATACATAAAATTAGATATAACAAAAGGCATATTGCACTGTTTAATATTTTTGCATGGGTATTTAGAGGACTAGTGAACTGCAGTAGAATTAATATGAAACTATATATCATGCATTGTTCTGTATCGTAAAGAAGAATAAAAAAATCATCTTTAATTGCATGTACTGTTAAATTACCATAATACATACACAATTAGTTTCTTAGCTTATAATGTCAGACTACATGAAAATAGTATTTTTCTACTGCTTGATACTCCTTCATAAATTCCAGTTAATTTATCTTATTACAAAACATTATCCCTATATATATTGCAAGAAATATCATAGATGGTTTATATATAGAAAAAAAGTCTGAGAATCTTAGCCTAAATAATTATATATGAATGACCTTTTGACTATCTAGTTGACAGAACTTTGATTCTTCTTACAATTGTAAACTAAATGAGTTTTAACAATAATGTCCAAGGATACTGGTCAATGACCAATTGAACCGATTTATAGAATAATTGGCTATTTATTGATCTCTGATTGTTTTTGTTTCTAGTTGCGCTGTATATTTGTACACGTCTTTGGAATACTCATCTTATTCATGTTTATATGAAAAATTATATGCATAAAATAGAATTGACTTATGATTTTGCCTAAATTTCAATTAGATGAAACCAAGGGATGCATTTGGAGGACAAGAAATGGTAACGTTATGCATTTCAATGCATATTTACAAATAAATAACCGCATGTATTTATAAATATATTGTGCATGTGTTTATTCTGCTGTTTTACATGTGGCCTGTTTTTAGAATAGTCGTGTTTGTAACAAAATTTCTTTGCATGTTGTTTTGAATTGGTAGGACTAAAATCATCTCATTACTCTCATCTTTGACAACTTTATGTGTGATATGAGTAGGATTTTAGTATTTTTAATTTGCATGTTTATAAAATGGTTGGACTGAAATAATCATTTCACATTTCAATAACACTTTGCATAGTGTTGAAACTGTTATGACTAAAGAGCATCACATCTTATTTGATAGTGGAACTCTATTGCTAAAGCATATCTTATCTTATTTGATAGAAACTCTGTAATGACTAAAGCATATCACATCTTATTTGATAGTGGAACTTAGATTGATCACTTTTTATCTTTTTTTCACTTTAGAGGTGACAAAAACAGTAGGATTTTATTACCATTTATCACATTATATGTTTTATCATAAGATGTTTTTATTTTTTGTATCGTTATTCAGGAAATAACAAAATAAAATGAACTGTTTAAACCATCTTCCTTATTTTTTTGGATTGAAAATTGTTTTTTTTTTTTTATCCTGTATCATTTTCTCACAGAAGAGAATATGAATTTATAGATGTAGATTGTGTATTTTTAGTTAACATTAAACTTAGAAAAGAGTACCACTCTACCGGTAGGTGATGTGTGTGTGAATAGGTTTAAATTGGTTTGTAAAAATGGGAATGGTGGTGTTTATAACTGTCACAATTACTGCAAATTATATCAAAGTTTTACATGGGGAAAGTTAGATGAGTATAAGAGGAAAGTTTGCACATTGAACTGGATATATTTGAAGTCTCAGTTTTGCATAGTTATTCATATTAACACTTACCATGCTGAATTGTTTTCAGAAAATGTTTAATTTTCTTTTATATGCAAAAATATGCAAATTACATGCAAATGAGCTTTACCCTGCTGCTGATGCATATTGATTCCTTTAAATCTAAGATATGGGATCATGGGTTGGAGTGGTCGGAGTGAGGAGGTGGTGGTGGCTTGGTGGGAATTTGCCCCAAAGTTGGTCATCAGGTGCAAAAAGCGTCAATTTTAACAATTTTTCGTCCTATTTCTTGACCAGGCAGACTGAGGCATGCTGATAGATGTATCTTAATGTAGTCTGCATGTAGAGTGGACCCCAGTGAACACATTAATCACAACAAAGCTTAGGTCGGAGTCAAACTGATCTTGGTACAGCAGTGTAAAGAAGGTCATTTGCTCCAAAAATCCAGAATTTCTTGATTTTTCCTGATTTTTGGCTTCAACTGGACCTGCAACCAGAAGTAGTCCTCCTCTAAGTGGATTTCAATAATAAACACAATCAGTAGTTATATTCCTGCAGGTTTACACTATTTCTTAAAGTTTTAGGCCTCTTAACTGCATGTGTCTGACACCGAAGGGAAGCCCACCCCTCTAGAAAAAACAGTTTTATTCGATTTCAATTTTCCAAATTCATATTTGAGCTGAAAATGCACCTTAAACATGAGAAACATGACAATAAATAGCCTCAGGTTGAGGGAACATGCATCAACTTCAAAATTAATGTCATAAAGTTTACCTCTAAAAGTATGGAGAGCCATTGGAGCCAAATAACAGTAGTTTGGGTAATCCCGTCATATGATGGTCACCGCATGGTAAGGGTTAAAGCTCATAATTCATTATAATAGCAACAATAGCATGTCTTTTATAAATTTGCAATGAAATGAATTACATATACTTAGGTGTACGAAATCACAAGTAAAAACTTGGTATAGAATATGAGTAGATCACAAAACATACATTTTTCTGCTCTTTAGTTTGAAAAAGCATCATGTTGCTTTCATAATAAGTTTATTATCTTCACTGCAAGTGAACATTTCAGATGGGACATTTTTTGTGCCTCACTTTCAGCCTGTAAAAATGATTAGACATAGCTAGAGGTCTATATGAGGCGTACATGTATATTGTTTCAATTACTTTAACCTTTCAGAAAAATTATTCAGATATTGCAATTATTAATGAATATCTGCATGATATAATTTACATATTGCATGTGCATGACTATAAAAACTGCTTGAACATTCTATAAATAGAATGCTTCCCTGAACTATTTTTGAATAATGGGAATCCTTAACTTCTGATTGCATGCTTAAACAATCTATAAATAGAATGCATGATACAATGGTGAAATAGCTCTCTGTCAAATACACCATATATATATATATATACAACATATAGTATTCTGCTACAAATATATAACCCTTAACCACTAACATGTCCATATCCTTAATTCTTTAATATATTATTGAATAAAACAATATCTATACTCGGTAAATATATGATAGAGGATGAATCAAGGATTTGTATAGTGAGAGTACGCAACATCTCACGATATGCGAGAAGTGTCGATATACCGCGAGATTCCAATCCTTCTCACTATACAAATCCTTGGATGAATGTACATTCTTTGTAGAATTATAGGCAATTATCTAGCACTTAGTTTTGACTTGCTAGGGTTGGTATTACAAGATTTTACTGAAGAAAAATAAAATAAATTACCACAAAAATATGATCAATAATACTTCTTTCCATTTTTTTTAAAAAGAAATATTTATATAGATTTTTTTTTTGTAATCTTTTGAATTTGAACTAATATTTTTCTCTATTATTATTTTCTTAAACAGCATATTGGATGATAGAAATTAGAATGCTTGTGGTAACAACTGGCTGAAATTTAACTTTGTTTATAACTTCTAATTTATATGTTAAGTTTAACTATTACATTTAAGACTAGGTTCCTACTAAACACAGTGATTAAAGTTATATTGATTTTTTTTATTTAATAATTATTGTTAGAGATCATACAGTATTAAATTAATATTAAATGAGTTTAAATACCATCAGGTTCATAAAGTCAGCATGTTTTGTACAATTATACCCAAGCAAGGCTGTTTAGACTTTTTTTTTAAAGCTTTCTTGTTCTATAAAAATCTATTGTTGTAGGATATTAATTGTAAAAAAAGTGGTCTTTTGTCTGTTGCTTCATATTTACTTTCCTTTAACAAAAAGATAAATGGCATATTTATGTTTTCTGATTATGGTCCTTAGATTTTGGCAGCAGTCTGGTGGCATTCCTGTCTAGATATAATCTTTACTCAAGATTTGTTAACTCTTGTCCAATAGAAAGTGCAAAAAAAATATGCTGGCTTTACCATGACCTATGCTGTTATAAGATGTTTGTCACATACTAAATGTTTATACATGTACTACCATTTATTTTACCACACCTATATATTTTTAAATAAGTTATATACTACTGTGGATTTATTTTAGTGGATACCAATTTTCAGGGATTGAGAAAACTTGCATTATCGTGGATATTTGATTTTATGGTTTTTCTAAAGTCAGCATTTATTCCTACAGAAAATTTGAAATTTGTAGAACATTTAAATTTGTGGTTCCTCTGTAGCCACACCATCCACGAAAATTGGTATCCAACAAATAATAATGATTTCCAAATATTATTTACTTGTAGTCAGTGGGTAATACTTATGAATACATAAATGTTCATTTAAGGGATCACACAAGAAAGTTATGATCCAAAATTATATTTTTACTTTTAAAAACACATACCAAAATTATAACTCATGTACAATGCAAAATTTTTATTTTAAAATTTTTTGGCACTTTAGAGTAAGTGGTCAGTTTGATTTCAAATATTATCAATGTCTATCTGAAGAAAAAATTGTTAGATTGATTGATTGATTATTGGCATTTAATGTCACTCTCTGGCCTCTTTGGTGGTCTGTTTTTATTGGTGGAAGAAGCTGGAGTACCTGAAAATAACCACCCAAACTTTATCAGGAAAACAGACAATCCTTAGTAACTCAAAATCAAGAGTTGAACACACCTTGCCGGGAGAGGGATTCAAATTCTGAATCTCAGTGTTGACAGGCTAGTGATCACTCTAGATGAACTACTTAGGCCACTCGGCTACACTCAAAAATTGTTAGATGTTGAAATCAAATGTTGCTCAGGTGAAACTACTTGGTTCAGATAACTTTACCCTAAATTCAAGAAAGTTCCACTTGAATAATTTTGGTTTAAACATGAAAAAAAAAAATAGATAGTTTTTGATAATATAGAAATGACCACTTGCATGAAAATTGGATAAGACCAGAATGGTTGTAAATAAGAAATATCAGTAAATACAAATTTGTATTCATGAACCTTAAGTGGATAAAGAGTATTCAGGTTGGTGAAAGTATCAATCAAAATTGTTGTACTGTGATTGATTTACATAACATCACTTTGTTTGAAATGTCGAATACCATTTTAATTCCAATGTAATCAAAGTTTAATCCATTAGTTTGTAATTCTATACAAAACATATGACCATTTACAATTTTCTGTAGAAAAAAAAAAGTATTGGAATTGTTGAACTGGAAAATCATTTAGTAACCTCTCAAAGTACAAGTTGGGCATTGCTGTGAAAAATATAAATCTGCATTGTACCTTTGAAACGAATTGATTTTTTGGTACCTACAAAAGCACATGAAAATGATATCCATAAAAATATTATCTTATAAGACCTCAATTTAAATACCTACACATTTTCTCAAATTCTGTGAGAAACTATTGAGAAAAATAAAGCTATTGCAATGGTTATATGGTGTCATTTGAGAATTATATAGTACATGTACCAGATATGATAAAATGGTATTCACTTCCGAGCTAATATTTATACTAACTTGTTTGTTTTTATTATTTTTATTAACACTTCACGTTGTGTGTTTTACAGAAAGACAATGAGCTACGGATCATGGTAAGACATGCACTTAAATTCTTGGGATAAAACTTGGGAATTCTAATGCATGCAAACTTCTACTGAACTTTTCATTTTGGGGATCAATCGGGGATAAACAAATGCATGCAATATTCAACTGAACTTTCTGATCTTAATTAATCTAACGGGAATTCTCATGCATGCAAACTTCTACTGAACTTTCTGATCCCAGGGAATCAAATGAGGGAATTATCATGCATCAAGATTTCAACTGATCAATTCATTATTGTTTTTTTTTAAAAAGAATATTCTAATACGTTTTGGAAATTCTACTGAATCTTTGTTTCATGTGCAAAATATGTTAAGAAATATGTTATGATTATGTTAAGATTTCTTAAGTTTTATGTCTGCTTTAACAGTAGAGGAATACCAAGATATAAGCCATTTCATTATGAAGGTTGATCAAATTTGACATTTTTCAAGGCATCTACCTCAAAGTCAACATAAAATCATAAGGGATTATTTTAACAGATTTCCACTTAGACTAATCAATCACCTTTCTGTTTGGACCTCTAACCCTGCTACAAATCTATACAGTAGGACAACCGGAAGCGCCTGAGTATTGATTTCGGTGCTCAGTGATACGGTTCACTAGACGACGTTGTCAACACGTAATGGCGGCCATTGTTTGACGTTGGATTTGGCATTCCACGCAGTAAAGATGCATTTATGACATTCTTGGATGCTAAAACTTAATGCCACACAACATAAAAGGTAAAGGATAATTTCAGATATACCGAGTTAATTATTTTCAAATAAGTGGGATCCCAAAAAAATGATTTAAACGGCAAAAATAAAGTGTAAAATTATAT